TTAAAGCTAAAGCTTGGTTTATTATGCTGACATGAATATTTTATGATTATCATTCCTAGTTCGTATTTTACGAGGTGGTAAACTTGGGCGAAAATGGCGTGTCGATCCGAAATAAAAGCGATTTGAGTGACTTTTTGATAATGTTGGGGATTGTAAAAAGACCATCGAATTGCGGTTCCTTCCCCGAGCGTCCAGAGGGTGGTTTTCCGCGAGACACCGAATCGATAATTCCTCTTTTACGACGCGCGGCTGGACGCATGTTGATGATGATGATTCGGCAAGGTCGGTCCATTGGGGTTAACCCTTTTTCCCGCACCTTCGGGGGAGGCGAAGTGAAAAGTCGGAAAAGCACATCATCGTGAAATTTTAAAATCCCAGAAAACAACCCCTTGAAAATGATTTCCTATTGCCGGCCTGTCGCATATTAACGCGAATATTATTTTCGAACCCTCATCCCCCGGCGCCTCCACACACACACACATATTGGGATGCAGACATGTTCGCGCAAAGAGAGAAAAAGGGCCGAAAACGCACTTTTCCTTTTTAACCCTTCTCATATCTCGCCCGGTTACCGCGACGACTGCGCTACCCCTGACGTCTCGATTTTCGAATATCACATATTAGCGCGCGGCCCCGACCCTCGCCAAAGAACTCGCTTCTCTTTTTTACCCCCTTCTTACCCTTATGTGCACGGCTGCCCTCCGGTCAGTCTCTGCATACGAACCTGCCTGCCACTTACGTATCAATATATCATGAGCTTTTTGAGCTTTTTTAACGTGTTTAGTTACGCTCGCCATGCACACACACACACCCCAACTCACGCAGATGCAAAATAAGTCTGGCCATTCAGAACCAGTTCGGAAAAATAAATCATAAAATCAAAAATCGAAAAAAAAACACAAAATCAAGGGTTCGATTGTATAGCAACCCCTTCTTAGTCGGCGCGCAGATAACGAACTAACTAACGCTCGAAACGAGCGAATGAGTTATATCAATCCAGTCTCCTTGCGCGATACACATGCACATGGGGTGGCGGCGGCGGCAGCGGTGGCCGGAAAGAAAGGGTTGCGTCGGCTGGCGCGGCCTTTTTGTCTCATCGCTGCGCGCTCGTGATATCTTTTAGTTTTATTGAAACTGACTAATTCGTGATGCCTAATGCGCGCCGCCGAAAGGGGGATGATGCGAAGGGTGCACCATTTGCATACGCATCTAGAGGGCATAATTATTGATTATTGGGGTTCGAACACCATCATGAGAGTGTTTCAGTTATGATAAAACTCTTCAAAATTTACTTAAATTTTCATCACTTTTTTCATTTTTCTTATAAAAGTTATAATAAATTCAAGAAATAGTTGTTATTTTATTGATTGTTATACATCATTTTAAATTAGAATAAATTTCCTATAATATAATGAAAACTAGAATATTGTATCGCATAGGGTGTTCTCATAAAACGTGTTTAAACTTAACGAAATTTTTTGTTAAAATTTTAACAAATGTGTTTTTGTTACTTTTTAACAGATATCACTATGATAACATAGTATTTAAGTAATAATTTATACATATTATTAAAGCTAATGAAATTCTCTATCTAATAAAATTTACTGCATTAACCTACCTTTAATAGTTTAGGATCTACAGGGTGTTAAAAAGTAGCAAAAATTTTCCAAATTTCAAAATCAATAAATTTTTGATATTTTGATATTTCTTGTAGTATGACGCATATACAACCCCTGTGGATAAGTAAAGGGTTGTTTCCTCCCCCCAGCCCCTCGAATCCGCGAGTGGAGTTCGACGCGCTCGTTCGTTCTCTCATTTCGCTTCGATTCGCATCGATATAACGTAGGCATCCGCGGGGGGCGGCGAGTAACGGCGGCGGCTTTGACTGATTGGGGTAAAATACGAGATGTAATATTTAAATTAGTAGTTCGGGAATATTTTAGAATCAATAACCCGCCGAACGAGCGCCGTTTCTCCGCAGCGTCTTCGTTCGTGCAACATTCGTTTCGCAAATTGTGCGAGACGTGTTGTTCCGCCGCGCCTCCACCACCCCCTCGCCGTGGCGGTGGTATTAAAAGGTGGATCGAGCGCCCCGTCGTTCCGTTCGCATCTATAACATCTATAACGGTCGATGGATTAGCGCGTTTCGACGATTCCGTCTGCCAAAGTCGGTATTAAACGTTATTCGTACAAAGTGAAATTATACCGAGCCGAGATAAGATTCCGCGCTGAATTTAAGAGGAGGCGGGGGCGGCTCTAGTTTTAGCCGGTGTGTGTATAGGTGACACGTACGCAGGCTCAACAAAAGGGGAACAAATTTAGCGGAACATCAATGATTCAATATGTTTCACAAGACGGCGCAAAGTTATGTCGAACTTTTAAGCCGTCGAAGATGCTTTCCTAATCCATTAATTGGGAAAGTCACGTGGAAAAGTTGCACGATTTTGTCGTACGTCTCAATTTAGGAAAAACAGCCATCAAACGTTATTATTTTTCAAATTGGAGCGATTTTTCTGAGAAAAAACGTAGAAAAACATATTTTTTGCATAATTTTTCTTAATTATTTTATTAAATTAATTATTAACATACTTAAATTATATATCAAAATAAAGGCAAAATCAAATTAATTTGGTTAAGTTAATACACTTAAAAAAGACCTAAAAATTGAAATAAAATTGTGGTTTATTTGTTTTTTGAATAAATTTCAAAGGTTTTGGGCTTTCCTAGAGCTTTAAATTATACATTTATAGAAACAAGATAAAATTATCTGTCAGATGGTGAATATTTTATGATTGTAACTCTCCTGGCACAATAAATACAGGGTGTCAAAGTTAATTAAACATTTTTTCAAAAAATCAAATTTTTTGAAAATATTTTTTTAACAATAAACAAAACAATTTTCTATAAATATTTAAACGTAATATTAAATTAGATAAAATTCTGCACCCTTCAGTATTTTTTCTAGAATTGTATCACTATTGGTGTAAAAGTTATGAGCCATAATTTCGTCGAATCAGGTAGATAGGTGAGAATTGTGCGCATTTCCAAAAGAACAAACATAATTATAATTTACAGCGGCAGCGAAGGCGACGCATTACGGTTGATATTCATTTATTTGTTGATTCGTCGGTTATTATCATTATCTCAGCGCCAGGGTTTGCGCAATCGAGAACTAATACACGAACGATTTTCCACGCGCACGATTTACATACGCGTAATAAAAATTGTCATAGATATACAGCGTCGTAGCGTCGCCGGGCGATTAATAGATAATTAACGCTGTGTTGACATTATTAATAAACTCGGATGGCGCATGATGAAATCTGAGAAAAGCGTGGAAAACGAAATAAGGACGCGCATCGCAAATAAAATCATCGCCAGCACCAGTTGAAGGAGAAAGGTGGTAACGATTATTTATCAGCGATAATGATAATGCCTGATAATATATTCGTGTCTTGCCAAACAATCGTCAGTCGCGCGAGATTGAGACTCGAAACGTACAACATTCAACCGCTCTGGATGATTTTTTATTCGGCGTGCTGTTTGTACGATGATTAAATTACTCATTAGCTAAGTCATTGCAATTAGTGACAGAGTGCACAATGGATGCTCAGCTACAAACGAGACTACTTCTGGCTGTAAGTTGATTTTGTTTGTGCGTCAATTTTTTCCGCGCCTTAGGCCTACCTATTTTTAACCCTTTTTTATGTAATCCTTTGTCGTTTGAAGTTCTTTTATTTTCGAAATCGAATTTTCCGCTGCCTCTGTTGTGTTTGTGTGTTTTAATTTTAATTTTCCCTTGCTTTTCTTATAATTCTGTTATCGACAAATAAAATATTACAAATTAACGGACGCACGAAGGGTGGACCGCAAAAAATCACCCTTTTTGTTAATCCGACCCTCGCGCTCCGCGCCTCCACCATCATCTCTCGCCAACCCTTGATATTATTGTATAAATACCGCGATTGCTGCGATGCTTTGTTTTCTTTTTTGCTGTTTTGTGAGAAATAAAAAACGCATTTTGGATCGGCGCCTTGTGTTTTCGACGCAGTGCGCGCTGCGAACCGAATTTTAGATGAATTATTAGTCGGCCGTTAGTAACCGTTTCCTCCTCGGCGGCTACGGCGGCGGCAGTGGCGGCTAGAGTATAAGTACAAAAACCACCCCTCGTTTTGCGATTCTTCGATACGGAATACTTCGATACCCCCTTTCGTTTTTGCGCCGAGGAGCAGCTTGACTAAGAAATATTGAATGTAATTTATCAATACGTATTACAAATACAAATTTTCACCCGGGAAATATTAGGGGGGAGGCTTTGCCGCGGCTGAAGAAAGGATTTTAACAGCTTCACGCCGCTGAGTGTTTTAAGTTATTATTTAAATGAACTCGCACTCAACTTCGCCTATGCTAATGCTTCAAACTGAGTCATTTTTGTTTTTTCTTGCTTTTTTAAGCTTTTAGAGCTTATTGTTATCTGGATCTTTGTGATATATACATTAAATTAAAGTTGATTAAATTTTGTATTTACTTGTCAAAACAACAATTTGTTAACGCTTTTTGTTTAAAAGTTATTCGAGTTTAAAGTTGGAGTATGAAATGTTAAATTGACTTCTATAATGATTTTAGTACTTAAAATAGATTTTGGGTGATGTTACTATTTACAAAATGTAACAAGTAATATATGATTATAAACTAGATAAAATTCTCTGTTAAACAAAGCGAATTCCACGCATCCATCTTATCTACATCATAAGATACAGTGTGTTAAAAAAGATCAAAATTTTAAAATTCTCTAAAAGCATTTTTAACCTTTATAAACATATTACAAACAATTACAAATGTTTAAATAAACATTCTTATGTTTATATAAAAGTGTAGTTTATAATCTTTACAATGGTACTATTTTTATAATTGTGGAGCAATAAATACGTGATATACAAGGTGTTAAAGTCGGAAAAGTTTTTCAAAAGCAAAAATTTATGTTATTTCCATTGTTACAGAATACACAGCTGCTGGAAGAGGTCCAACGACTGCAGGTGAGCATCACGAGTTCCATGTCGCAGATCTCACGTCTCGAGGAGCAGCTCGAGCAAAAGCGGCAGCTGATTGCGCGGCTCGAGACCAAATTGGACGCTCAGCGCGACTATGATGACCTCAAACGTGAACTGAGGTTAGTCTTAAAAACAACCCTAGTTAAACTAATTAAATCTGGTCACAAATCGGGGATCAAATTACCTATTAATACAAATCTGGATGAATTTTGAAATTTTAATCTTTCTGCAGTATATTAAGGACGGAAATAGTGGGCATCGAAAAATCACCTGCTAACCTCGTCGAGGCTCTTATCGAACGCTCCAAACAACAACAACAACAACAACAACAGGAAAGATGCAGTTCGCCAAACTCAGACACCGAAGGTAAATTTCTTCATACGAGCACTGGATTATCCTGGTTATCCGAAAATTCCCACTTACCAAGATCACACACAACTCATTTTTCTCATTTTTTATTTGATTTGCTTGTACGAAACTACAAATAGAAAAAAGTTATTGCGAGCAGAACGCAATCGCAATTGGCATTGTATTGTTTCGCTCGTTTTGTTCAGATTGCGCCACGTGCAGAGTGCGCACGGGCTTGTGAACTGGATCTCGATAATTTCCATCGCAATGGCAATTTTCTGCGCGGCCGTTTCGCGTTTAACGACGGGCGACGACACATTTTAAACAACTTGTTGGTTTTTTTTCTTCTTCTTCTTTTACTACCTACTACTAGTCGATTGCGACACAAGAACACAAAACAATAGAAGTATTACAATTATTGAGCAAGAAACCAGAAAGAAATTCAAAAATTATTTTAAAATTTGTTACTTAAGTTAAGTCATGTAGACGAAACGCAATTGTTTCGTTTTCTAATTGAATATTCAAATTGGTATTAATTATTTACTGGTTTATTCGAGAGGGGAAGTTGAGTTAAGTTGAGTTAATGACTTTGCTGGACTTGACTTAAGTCAGTAGGAGAGTTCAGTAGGAATTAAAAATACTTCCCTCGCTTGGTTGGTCGGTCGATTGCGGTGAGGCGTGAAAAAAGGAAGTCGTACATCATATCTGACGATCGCGAGTATTTTTATTTCTTCTTCGTGTATGTGTGTGTGAGTGTGTTGTGTGATGAACTTTGATGATTAGCTCTTTTTTCTCCGTCCAAAAATATTGTATTCTTATTCCTTATTAATATAAATATCTGCGTCATAATTAAGTTAAGAGTCAAAAACTGTACTCGTCGCGCTTTGCTAGTTCTTGATTTAATTAACGTCATTCTCTGAGTCTCCGAATTCTGTTTTTTGTTGTTTTTATATCCTATATGATCCTATTTTTGTTTTTGCGTAAAATTTTTTTACACATTCACACTCATTCCTAATCATAATTTTTCCAGGTGTGACCAAACCTCCCCTCGGTAACAATCTTGACGCTCACCTAACACTACCACCATCCCTCCCCGCCCGGATGCAGAATGTCGAGCAGTTCGGCGTGCTGCTGGGCGAGGAGATTGTCGCCAAATGGCGGCGTTCGCTGGACGCCTCACTCATTTCCTCCTCATCTGCAGATGTCACACCGGCAACGCCAACGCGTTCGCCACCGCCGCCACCGGTCGCCGCCAAAACTTCGGTGACGCCATCCGTGACGCCAACGCCGACGCAGGTGGCCACCCCGCATCCCGCCACTACACCCGCTTCGCTATCATCTGCCAATACGGACGCCAAGTCAACAGCATCCACTCCACAACCCATGGAAGCGCAGCCATCACCGCTCGCACTCAATGGTGGACCTAAATCTCCAGAGGACAACAACAATCACCATCTGAGCAATAATAACCTTCCACCTATGGCGGCGAGTGCCACCGCCGCTATGCTCAATATGAACTTCCTGCGGGCGAGTGGAGGCGCACCCGATGATCTCAAACCCACCTATCGCTTTGATGACCCACATCGCACCTATCGCTATGCTGAGGAACTTGGACTTGCGCCTGGTAGTATGGTCTCACGACTTGGCGAAAGTTTGATCCCGAAGGGTGACCCCATGGAGGCTAAACTCCAGGAAATGTTGCGGTACAATATGGATAAATATGCCAATCAGAACCTGGATACGCTGCACATATCACGCAGAGTTCGGGAACTGCTTTCGATACACAATATTGGCCAGCGCCTTTTTGCCAAATACATTCTGGGGTTGTCTCAGGGTACAGTATCTGAACTTCTGTCGAAACCCAAACCATGGGACAAACTCACTGAGAAGGGAAGGGATAGTTATCGCAAGATGCACGCGTGGGCTTGTGATGATCATGCTGTCATGGTTCTCAAGTCGCTTATACCAAAGAAAGGTGAGTTTCAGAAATTTGCTTCTGCTTTTTCTGCAAAACATTCAAACATAAAATTGGGGCCCGTGAATAATTAATAGGTGCATTAGGTCCAGTTTTTCATATAAATGAATTTATTTTAATGAAATTTTTTGATATCTTTAACCAGTCACGTGGGATCTGCCCTTGGCCATTTTTTGGTGAAAACATCAAAATTGGAATTTTTGAATTCTGTAAACGGAAATCAATAGGGTTTAGTGCCCTTAATAAACTATGAATCGGAAACTTTAATAACATTAGGGGTTGAAAAGTTATAGGGGTTGAAAAATTAAAATTTTAAAATTTAATTTTTTTTCAACCAACTTCTATAGATGAACTAATTCTGAATAGAATATCTTAATACAATTTTTTAATTGCATTAGTATCATTGAAGTTATATAAACTTGAACATTTTTTGTCCAAACTTTAAAAACCTTGCTTGGTTTCATTGTAATTAATTATGGCATATTAATACATTACCTTAAACAATTATCATTATGAGAATCGGCACCGAAAACCAAGAATTAATTGCCCCAAGCCCCGAATCGCCTCGATCGCAATTATACAATTGCTTGAAGAAAAAAAAAACGCATCAAAAACCATCAAAAATTAAACAATGAGCTTTAAACAACAACCTGGAACGTAGAGAAGCATTACTCGAAACTGGTATTAATCGCAGAATTATGTGATACGATAAATCGAAAGAATAACGCAACCGGCGCATTATTACGAACGTTAAAAATTAATAATTCATGCGCGAGCGCGAGCACTCCGAGATCGCGCGCGCTGATGTTAACTCGAGCGCGCAATTAAAAAACTTCTTCTCGTCTTAATGTTAATTTTTCGATTCGGCGTCTTCACGACTAATATTATTGTTTCATGTTGCCTGCATGGGTTTTGTGTGTTGGCGTATTAAATTCGGTTATTACCAACGAAAAAAAAAAGAACACAAATTGAATTGAATTGAATGATTCACTTCCTGTCTCCCAAATGAATATGAAAAAAGAACACAGAGTTATGAGCAGAACACACGATGCGCAATGTCGAATATGTGTATAAAATTACGGGTTCGTGGATAATTAATTTCGAATCTTGTGTGTGCGCTTTTTTCGGTGCGCCAAAGCCATGCTAGTTTTATTATTCTCTGACATGCGTGAGTGTTCGGAATCGAATACGCTAATAAAAGTTTTTATTGGTTTTTATTGCGCTCGCAATTGATGGAGGGGAAAATATGGCAGCCATTTTGATTGAGTCGTGATTATCGCGAAATACTGAATATAAAATAATCGAAGCTTTCGCTCGTGTTGTATTCGTGCAGTTTGCGTGTTCACGTGTAAAAATCTTTCATTATTTTTCGCCCACACCACCCGTGAATACGCGGAGGGTTGGTAGGTACAAGTTTCGTGCGCGGTGTGGATCGCATGTGTCCGAAATTCGATTTTTCGTCATTCGTTTCCTTCACCCCGATAACGTCAAACACGCCGTAAAAATACCGTTAAAGTTTCTTTTTCCTCTACAACAGTCTGCAGACGTTTTTGATTGTCGGCTGCATTGATTTTCCACCGTGCGTTGTTTTTTATAGTTTAACATGCGATCAAATGAAACAAAGAATTAAAAAAAAAACGAGTTTAAAGTGTAAACTATTAATTCATTACGCTGTACGATTTTGTAATTTTTTCGTAGTGGTTGTTGTAATACTTCAATGTTTAATGCTCAATTTATTTATCAATTGTTTTGAGCGAAGAAGCAAAATGCGACCGTGCGAATTTTGCATCATTAGCGCTTGAGGATTGAACGAAACGAAAACGAAATCGCATTGTGTCGCAAATCTGATGCAAGACGAACTTAAACAATAAGCAAATATATTGTCATTCTGCGCCGAAAACATTTCGACATTTCGATTTTATTACGCTCAGGCAATTAATTCCATAACTGGAATCATTCTCCAACAGCTTCGTTGCTTAGATCACGATAATTTTTCCGTGCGTGCCGAAGAGAAAATATCTAAAAATTGTCATTAAAATCGAGTCTTGATACATCATGCGATACGCGTCGTTGATGGGCATTTGATTGAAGTCGCCGGAGTGCAATATTACTTCGGGCATGTTCCCATGACCGACGCGAACATGCAACGAAGAGATGACAATAATCACCGCAGACATCGGTGAGGAGTACGCGCGCGCGCGCGTTCGCGTCGGGAAAGAAATCGAGGAAACCAGCTCGAAAGACAAGCAATTATGTGCTTGCGTTCACATATGAGTTCGAGGCAACAATCAAAACGAATCAGAACACGAAACATCATCGTATCTGCGATAAAAACCACTGAGCTCTGAGACGGCAAAACGACGTCTCGGATTGTCACACGCTTTGATTTCTTCTTGTTTCAACGAAATTTCTTAGCTCCAGCACTTATTTCACGCGTTTACAATTTTTTTAATATGCCTAAATTAAATAACGGCATCTGATAGTTTATTGTCTCCCAAACATAATATTTTAATACATTTTTTTGATAGCTATTACGGTTCGAGAGTTATTGGTCTTTAAAGTTTGATGAGACCCAAAAAAGGGTCTAACAACTAAAAACCTAAAATTCATAGGTTTCTAAACGATTTACGATAAAATATTTAATCTGGATTGATAATTGTTGATGTCACACAGCTTACGCATTCTAATCTAAGTCTAAACCGCATGTCTCGTAGTCAGAGGATGATTTTGAAGACGTGCTGATTGGTGGTATGTTCTGCTATCTTATTACAGATTATTTTTCGTCCTCAGGCAAAGAATCCAGCGGGGGCGCGATGCCGCCATTTGGTGCCCGGCCAGATGCGGATCTCACCGATGAACGCCTAGCGCATATCCTCACTGAGGCCCAGCACATGCAGATGAAGAATGCTGTTCAGGAACCGGATAGCTTCAGCAATGATGATTCCAAGTCCCCGCATGGTCAGTGTTTGTCGCCGTTCAGCAAAGACTCCTCACAGAACCGTCGCCTCAAAAAGTATGAAAACGATGACATCCCTCAGGAGAAGGTCTACAAGATCTATCAGGAGGAGCTTGCCAAAATTATGGGCAAGGATATGCGTGGCGCTGGTGCATTCCAAGGGTAAGTTTTATATCAGAACTAAACGGACGAGGATGGAATTATGATTGCTTCTACGCGAATGGGTTGAGATTTACCTAATTGTAGTCTGTTTCTTCCGCAATTGTTCAGCGGTAATCCTTTAGATCGCACCCAGGATGAGATCCGGATGACTCTTGAGGCGTACCACAGGGAGATGATCAAGTTGAATCAAGGACCTGGGTTGACCAATCTGGGGATTTTGGCACTGCAGCAACAAGCTCAAGCTTTCGCACAGCAAAACCCTTTGAATGGTGGTGTTCAAGACTTGTCCATTCCCAAAGAGGTCAAGATTAAGAACGGAGATGAAAAGGAGAAGAATGACGAGGATAAACACAACAGTTCTGCGTTTAGTTTGGTGCGACCCAAACCGGAACCCACAACGCCGCTGCCAAACTCAACAGCGTCCAGCCCACTTGGAAATTCTATTCTTCCACCAGCTACATCCGAGGAGTTCTGTGCTTCTTCTGTGGCGTCGCCGTTACAACGCATGGCTTCCATTACAAACTCCCTTATCTCACAACCTGCTTCCCAGCCGCATCACAACTCATCGCAGCGTCCCCTCAAGGCCGTCCTTCCACCCATCACTCAGCAACAGTTTGATATGTACAACAACCTCAACACTGAAGACATTGTCAAGAAGGTCAAAGAGCAGCTCAGTCAATATTCCATCAGCCAACGGCTTTTTGGAGAGTCTGTTCTGGGTTTATCTCAAGGTTCAGTCAGTGATCTTCTCGCGAGGCCAAAGCCCTGGCATATGTTGACCCAGAAGGGCCGAGAACCTTTTATCAGAATGAAGATGTTCTTGGAGGATGATAATGCTGTACATAAACTGGTCGCCAGTCAGTACAAAATTGCCCCTGAGAAGTTGATGAGAACAGGAGGGTATGGTGGATCTTGCTCTACCATTAGCAAACCTCTACCGCCAAAGATGATTTGCGAAGCTGCAGCTGCTGGTTTATTCAATAAGATGCAGCAGGAGCAGCAGAATCTGCTACCGCCCTCGTTACATCTTCAACATCAAAACCCACAGCCACCACCACCTCCAATGTTACTTACACCTCCTGGAGTCCCACCTCATCATGCTATCAGCTTGCAGAATAGTGCGGCTGCAGCAGCAGAGCATATGAAGAAGACCCAGAGTCCCCACATTCAACATTCCCCAGTTGGTTCAGCTCAGAGTGCGATGCGTAGTCTTCATCAACACATTTCTCCAAGTGTTTATGAAATGGCGGCGTTGACGCAAGATCTGGACACGCAGATTATCACGACAAAGATAAAGGAAGCTCTTTTGGCTAATAACATTGGACAGAAGGTAAGTCATTGATTTGATGGGCGTTCTTTATAATTTATTAATTGAATTGTGTTTGTTCAGATTTTTGGCGAGGCTGTTTTGGGGCTTTCTCAAGGATCAGTCAGTGAATTGCTGTCTAAACCAAAACCCTGGCACATGCTGAGCATCAAAGGCCGTGAACCTTTCATCAGGATGCAGTTGTGGTTGAACGACGCCCACAATATTGATCGCCTTCAAGCACTGAAGAACGAACGTCGTGAAGCTAACAAACGCCGTCGTTCTTCGGGAGCTGGTGCCCACGACAACAGCTCAGACACATCTTCCAATGACACTTCAGAGTTCTATCATTCTAACTCACCTGGTCCCGGACCTCCATCTGCCAAGAAACAACGCGTGCTCTTCAGTGAGGAGCAAAAAGAAGCCCTTCGATTGGCATTCGTGATGGATCCCTATCCCAATGTGACCACCATCGAGTTTCTGGCGCAGGAGCTCAACCTTTCCAGTCGTACTATAACGAACTGGTTCCACAACCATCGCATGCGTCTCAAACAACAGGTCCCGCATGGTCTAGCGAATGACCTGCCGCCTAGGGATCAAACCGGTGGCCAACCCCCCTTCGACCCGATGCAATTCCGACTGTTACTCAACCAAAGACTCATAGAATTATCGAAAGAACGCATGGGTCTTGGGGGCGTCGGTCTGCCCTACCCACCTTATTTGGCAACCAATCCAAATCTGGCGGCGCTGATCAGCCGCGGCATTCTTCCCACAGGCGATGAGCTTGCCGCCCTGAACAACGCCGTCAAGGAGCAGATAAGCGGGTTGGACCTCTCCATGGGTAACCTCAAGCGTGAACCGGGTGACTTTGATGATGAAGATGAATGTGAATCGAACGCCGGCTCCGAGGACTCAAACATTTCCAGCCGATCGATGCACCACCAAGGTGAGCCCAAACCAGAACCCAAAGAAACCCCAGTTCAAGCGCGCTCCTCACGACGGAAACCCGCCGCTCCCCAGTGGGTTAATCCCGAATGGCAGGACGAGAAGGAGAAACCCGCTACCGGTGATGAAGTCATCATCAACGGTGTCTGTGTGATGCAAACCGAGGACTACGGTCGACGCAACTCCGAAGAAACGGTTCGCGTTGAACCAACACCCGTGATGGACCGATACGAAGACGATCAAAGTGATGCCTCTTCAGTACGAAGTCAACAGGACCCGATGGAGATCAAGAGCGAACGTGAAGATCCCGAAACCGAAGAAGCTGACGTTAAATCCGTCAAAAACGAAAATGACGAAGAACGGTGGGACTACTAAATACGTAGCTGAAAAATAAACAAAAAACAATCAAGTGATTTCGGTTTAAGTTTAATCTTATTTATTCTTACTCTTAGTGAACTCACGTGCAGAGATAATAGACTCTGATCTCAGATATCAAAAAAGTGCAATCATTCATCGACATACACACACGAATAACGAAGGCGTTGAACAAAAATGAACGATGATTTAAACCCCTCTTCCTTAAAGGAACCCAAACGCGCCGTTTTAAGGATACGACCTCTAATTTAATTAATTCTACGAAATAAAATATCTACGATACAAATTTTGTGATTAGGTACTTCAAAATACCAAACGATTAGTTGTAATTCATCGTTATTAGTTATTAAATTAGTGCTAATTTAAGTTGAGACATGTGCGCATGCAAAAAACACACACACAAAAGGCTAAAATTATCCCCCTTCGAAACAAACTCCAAATATTATGTTAGTTTCGCTAAGTATATCGAATAATTTGGCGGGAGCGCGCGTGTTGCATCAACGAAATTCTGTTAAATGAACAATCCGTACTTTTTCATTTTTCCAAGAAAGAAAACACTAAAAGTCTATCAAAAAACCTCTGAGGTTCATTGGTGGGACATGCACGTTTACTCTGCCAAGTGCGTAAGTTATTCATTTTGTTTAATTTTTATTTATTACTTTAAGAAGAACCAAGTTCATCGCAATGAATGAAATTTCTGCATTCGATTTGGACGCACACACATTTCACAAAAGCAAAAGCAAAATGAAACACGATTTGTTTTATGTTACGATCGACGCGAGCTCGATTGATTATAGTTGACGACTTCATTGATTAATGATTAATGATTAATTATTAAAAAGACTGTTACCGTATGTTTATAGAGAAATGAGAAAGTATATTATAAAAAAGTGTATAGCCAAAAATCGCAAACAAAAAACCAACAACAACACACAAAACGAAAAACTTAATCAAAATGCATAAATAATTAAATAAATAAATAAAATGCGCGCAAAACAAGTAATAAATTAAGTGTAAGGGCTATTATTATCTTAGTTATCTAATTTTTTATCACATGAACCGACGAAAACAAAGAGAATGGTGGAAACTGAACACAACACATGAAGCAAAAAGAAAATTGAATGTTTGATGAAATGAAACATTGTGATATTTGCTTAAATGATTAAATTAATCGTGCTTTATATGAGAATCATGAAACATGAAAACAAATGTATGTAGAAATCAAGAAAACACACACCCACACACACAGAACACAAGAAACAAGCATGAAAGACAAATTACGTTTAAGTTTAATTTGAGAATCGTTCGAAATGAGGAAAAAAGGCCAAAAAGTAACGCAATTTACAAGTACTACACTTAAGTTAGGCTAAAAAAATTAAAATAATAAATCATGATATGATTATGATAATGATGATCAAATAGTCTTTAATTTTCACGAATCACTTCCAAAAAATGTAAAATTAGTACATATTGAACAAGAAATTCTTGCAAATTGTTTTGTACATAAATTTCTAGGCAGTACATAGCTACAAAATAATAAACGTTCGAGAAAACAAATTGAAAACAACAAAAATCAACCAACAACCTGAAACTGATCTTTGTCTTCTAGTCTACGTTTACATTCTACACCGAAATCCCCTCACAGATACACACAGCCAGGCCAGTAATAAACCGTTCAGTTTGTGCTGATTCACTGATTCATATTTAGAGAAACTGAAACATAAAAAGAACTTGTACATACATGATGGAGAAGATCTCAGCGTTCAACACTTACGCCTTAGTTCTGGGCGTTTCTACAGAGGCATATCGTAGTTAAGAATTGTAAAATTTATAAACAAAAGGCAAATAAAATTAAAATTTAATGGTAGCTTTGAGACTTTGAGATGAGTAACATGAACCGAAACGTATAATAACTGACGAAAAACGAATCAAAAATGATTGTGCATAAAACACGTTTTATCTCTACATACATTCAAGTACATTGTCCATATAAAGTACTACGCAAACAAACAAACAAACAAAAACTGTTTTCTAGTGCAATACGTTTAGAATATTTAGCTTGTAAAGATCCGAGAACGTTTGTGAGAGAAAAACCAAGTCGTTTTCCCGAAAAGCTTTGTGCATGAACAAAACAATGTAAAACGTAAAATTATACGTAAATATTTATCGACTCGATTGCGGTCGATAGTGAAGCGCTAAATTTTTAGCTAGCCAGACAAACAAACAAAATATATATTGTAAAATAAAATTTATTATCATCGATGGTGCGTGAATGCAGTCTCCACTTTTGAATAATGCATGTAGACACTCACACACTGAAGAAGGAGAAACCAAGAAATACAAAAAAAACGTACATAAACAAAAATTATAACGTTATAATTATAAGTAATGAATATAAATAGCTGAGGCATGTGAGAACAAAGTACGACGACGTTTTTTTCTCGGTTCGTTTTTGATTTTGCAGTCGAATTGTACTTCGACTTGTACACCGACACACACGCTTAAGTTTAAGTCAGGCATTAATCATTTACCATTTTTGCGACGAGAATGCGAAATGAAACAAATAAGAATGGTTGTTATTTTGAGTGCGGGAGACATTGAATGCAGCGAACGCAGATGAAAATCAAGATGCAATACAAGAACGCCGTTTATCTGAAACTTAAAATCAACATTTGTTTTGTAAAATATTGTCTATAGGAAGCAGTCGCACATTCGAGAAATGCCTCTCGCACTTCGTTTTATTATTATAAGATAATATCGATTATCGATTTATTTATATATATAAATATAAATACTTAGCGAAGAAAATGAATTAAGATAAAATGAGGACATGAAGCAAAACGATGAGATCGTAGATCTTAATGAATCATTATTCTGTAAATATTTATATTATCATATCATCTTTTGAAGTTTCTAAATTAAACATTTCTCTGTATTTAAATGATTGTGTTTTTATTTCAACAAACATTTTTCAGTGCGCTAAACTTAAAAAGTTTTGAATTCGTGCGCAGTGCATATGACTGGCAAAAAGGCAGGAGGTCCACTACAAAACACCAAAAGTCCCTAGGGTAGTGATCTGGTACACAGTATGTCCAAAGTGCAGTTTAAATTTATTATAATTATACTAAAATTACATATTAAAAAGAATAAAATTATAGTATTAGCCACAAAATAGTATTAAATAATATAATTTGTTTTATAAGCAATAATGCGCTTAAATATTTGATTTTATTTAAAAAAATATTCCCCTCCAACTTTCATGGCTGCCAATGACAGGTGAAAAAAATCCCCCAGAAACATTTTGACAACCGCAGCTATTGTGATCGCAGAAAAGGAAAATTATTCGATTCACACTCGCCTTTTGTACGCAAAATTTCACAGTTTTCCGCCGAGTGTATCGCCGTGAAAATGCGTCGTGTACGCTAGTAAATCCTCGTCGACGTTTCGCTCGATTAGTATTGTCAGCCAGGTTATAAATCCAGTAATATTCTTCTGTTTTTGTTGCAAGTTACCCACTTAAAGTGAGTCAAGGTTAACGACGTCTCCGTAAAAGAGGTACTACGCTGCTATTTTTAACTATTTCTGCATCTCTTATTCATGTTGTGTTCGTTTAGGGTATTTTTAAACCCACTGTGATGTTTGCAGGTTATCCCAAGCAGTAGGTGTTGAGTAAAGCAGCTAGTCATTGTGTGTGTGCAACAGGGGTGCTGCATCATGTCTCTGAAGCCTCGAACTGTTGACTTCAATGCAATATGGACCAATCTTCAAGAGACTGTCCAGGGCGTGCTCACCCTTGGAAAGGTATCGCGCTACACGTGGAACGATCGATTTTCGTAAGAATGACTTGATTTTTTAATAATGGGAAGAGTTATCATATTTGTATTTTTTTAGTGATGTTTACTCACTCTGTGTGGCAGTACCTGACCCAATGGCAGATCGTTTGTATGCAGAAACAAAACAATATCTTATTGATCATGTTGCGCAGCTCTTGGAGAAGGTGCAGGAAGGTGGTGATGGTAATCTTATAGTAAACTACTACAAATATTGGTCTACATACTCAGAAGGACTGAAATATTTACATTTATTGTATTGGTATTTGAATCAACAGCATATTAAGACTCAAAAACCGTCTGATGCTGAGATGATTTATGGAAATTCTGATTCCAATTGTAAGTCAAATAAGAATCCTTATTATTTTTCCTTTTTTTAACTTTAATAATAAATTGTAGCGGAGCAAATGGAAATCAACGAATTGTCGCTGGAAGTCTGGCGAACTGGGATGATTGCTCCACTTGGTAAACGCCTAGTCAAACTTTTATTGGATGAAATCGAGACCGACCGAATGCGGGGAACAATGACTGTCCCTATCGACGCCGTGCGTTTCACAATACTCAGTTTTGTCGACGTGCAAATCTACAAGAAAAAAGGTCAACTTCAGTTGTACCAAGAATTGTTCGAGGAGCCGTTTCTAAACGCTAGTGGTGAACATTTCAAGCGTGATGCAGGTCGGTTGTTAGAAGAACGCGATGTAAGTCTGTACATGGAACGAGTTATCGCTAAAGTAGACGAGGAACTTCACCGCGCTAAGAAATTCCTGCATTCTTCATCACTACCGAAAGTATCCCAGCGTTGTGAGCAGCATATGGTTGCCGAACATCTCAGCTTCTTATACAGCGAGAACATGGCAATGGTAAAAGCTGAACGCAAGAAGGATTTGAGTAATATGTACATGCTGCTCAAGAGCGTCCCCAGCGCGTTAAACATCATGATTGAAACAGTACTCAATCACATCAAGTCGCAAGGATTGGCTGCTATAGAATACTTGCATCATGATAACATTCACATTAATTTCGTGGAGAATTTGTTAGATGTTTATCAAAAGTATAAGGATCAGATCCAAGAGGTTTTCCATGGCGATCAGAATTTTATGGGCGCGTTGGATAAAGCTTGTAATTCGGTAATTAACTATCGGCCTAATAACGGGAAATCTCCCTGTCGGAGTCCGGAGTATTTAGCGAAATATTGCGATACGTTATTGAAGAAATCCAGCAAAGGGATTACAGAGTCGGAAGTCGATGAGAAATTAAAGCGCAGCATCACTATTTTTAAGTATATCGATGATAAGGATGTGTTTCAGAAGTTCTATGCGCGCATGCTGGCGAAGAGATTGATTCACCAGCAGACGCAGAGCATGGATGCTGAGGAGGCGATGATCAATCGGTTGAAACAAGCGTGCGGTTATGAGTTTACAAGTAAACTGCATCGCATGTTTACGGACATGTCTGTGAGCGCCGACTTGAATTTTAAGTTCAACGCCTTCTTGAAGAATGAAGATACTGACTTGGGGATTAATTTTGTCATCTATGTTCTGCAGGCTGGTGCTTGGCCTTTTGTTCAGGCTATTGTGACGCCGTTTTCGGTGCCACAACAGTTAGAGAAAAGTGTCCAAATGGTAAATAATTAACGGTAAAAATTGATGTGTTATTATTCATTTTTGTTTGTTTTGCAGTTTGAAACATTTTATTATAATCGTTTCAACGGGCGTAAACTCACCTGGCTGCATCACCTTTGCCAGGCAGAACTGCGTATTGGCTACCTCAAACGACCCTACGTCGTCACCGTGCAGACCTTCCAGATGGCCATCCTGCTGCTTTTCGAAGCCACTGACTCGCTGACTTATAAGGAAATTAGCGAGCCGCTACTGCTCAACGACGAACAGTTTCATAGGCATTTGGTTAGTCTGGTTGACTCGAAGATGCTTCTCTGTGATACCGAAGTGAGTAGATATTCTTAAAATACGTAAACAAATCAAAATTTTATTTTTATTTTTATTTTAGGAACTGACACCCAGTTCAGTACTAAACCTCAACATGGAATACACCAACAAACGCACGCGGTTCCGAATCACCGCCGCGATACAGCGTGAAGCCCCGCAGGAAGTTGAGCACACGTTAAATTCGGTTGAAGAGGATCGAAAGTTGTATCTGCAAGCCGCGATTGTAAGAATTATGAAGTCGAGGAAAGTTTTGAAACACAACGCACTAATTCAAGAAGTAAGTTGTTTATCTCCTAACAAATTAATTATGTTTGATATCAATGTTTTGTTTTTATTATATTAGGTCTGTGCACAGTCAAAAGTTTCGTTTGCACCAAGTATCCCTATGATTAAGAAGTGCATCGAGGCGCTCATCGATAAGCAGTACATCGAAAGAACGCCACATTCTAGTGAAGAGTACAGCTATGTGGCTTAATCCACGATGGAGATTTAATGGCGAAGAGCGATAAGGAGAATGCTGCAATTATTCATAAATTATATTTAAAATAAAAATTTCAATCGATTCTTGATGGCGGAGGATGAGATAGAGGTCACGACAGGCTTCTACGATTATGGCGCCGACTTGCCGTTATTTATTTATTTCGGATGTTTTTATTTTAAATGTGAATTTGATCGTAAACGCGAGCGCTCGATAGTCTCTCGGTCGGTATGCTGCTATGCAGTCTCTCTTTTGATATCTGTGAATGGTGCGATGAAATGATGGCTACTGATACGTAAGCGATGCTTGCGGCTGCAGGATGATTGTATTCATACTTTGGAATTACAATAGTTTCGATTGAATGTGTAAAATGCAATGTAAATATATTTGTTCATAAATAAATATGTACTAAGGGTTTACGAGTTTAGAAGTTTTGGGATTTTTCACAAAGTATGTAAATATGGTGTGGAAAACACCCTGGTTCTAATTAACTGTTTTATATTTTCTTATTCCTTCTAAATGCTCTTTAAAAATTGACATTTTTCACAAAATGTGAAAACATAATATGGAAAACACCCTGTATCATCTGAACTAATTGGGTTTTTTTGATGTTTTATACCCATGCTAAAGCTCTAGAACTCCTCTACACGACACATAATTTTTCAATCTTCTACCTCTATTAAAAGTGCCCTAAACTCCCTTTAAAAATTGGCATTTTTCAAAAAAATTGAAAACAAGGTGTGAAAACACTCTGTATATTGTGAATTAATTAATTTTTTCATAGTTTGTTACCGCCATATTAAAGTTCGAGAGTCTCTCTACACGATGCATACCTTTTCAATCTTCTAGCCCTTCCGAAAGTGCCCTAAAACACCTCTTAAAAATTGGCATTTTTCAAAAAAATTGAAAACAAGGTGTGGAAAACACCTTATATTTCGTAAACTAATTAACTTTTTAAGAATTTGTTACCGCCATATTAAAGTTCGAGAGTCTCTCTACACGATGCATACCTTTTCAATCTTCTAGCCCTTCCGGAAGTGCCCTAAAACACCCCTTAAAAATTGGCATTTTTCAAGAAAATTGAAAACAAGATGTGGAAAACACCTTATATTCTGTAAACTAATTAATTTTTTCATAGTTTGTTACCGCCATATTAAAGTTCGAGAGTCTCTCTATACGATGCATACCTTTTCAATCTTCTAGCCCTTCCGGAAGTGCCCTAAAACACCTTTTAAAAATTGGCATTTTCCAAAATAATTGAAAACATGGTGTGAAAAACACCCTGTATCTCATAAACTAATTGAAATTTTTTTAGTTTGCCACCGCCATGTTGTAGTTCAAAAGTTCCTCTATACGGTGCATACTTCTTCAGGTTTATAGCCCTTTTAGAAGTGCCCTAAAATGCTCTTTAAAAAAGAGCAATTTTCAAAAAAATTGGAAACATAATGTGGAAAGCACTCTATATCTCGTGAACTAGTAGACTTTTTTGGAGTTTTTTTCGTCATGTTAAAGTTCAAGAGTTCCTCTGCACGACGCATATCTTTTCAACCCCCTAACCCTTCCAGAAGTGCCCTAAAATGCACTTCAAAAATAGCTATTTTTGTCCCAAAAATTTCATTTTTTGTCAAATAACAGGTCGAACTTTTTTGTTAAAATTTTTTTTGGTTGAACAACAGAGTCGAACTTTTTTGTTAAAATTTTTTTTGGTTGAATAACAGGGTTGAACTTTTTCCTTAAAAATTTTTTTGCTCGAACAACAGAGTCGGATCCTTTTCTTAAATTTTTTTAGTTGAAACAATAAATTAAAATTAAAATTAAAAAAGTATTTTATTTAATTATACAATTTAAACAACTTTTTACCTAGTAGCAGTAAGGATATTTCCTGTAAACCACATTTAGTGAAATGTGCACTCGCATCGATACTTAAAAGTCAATTATCTCAGGAACTAATAGAGATAAACAAAAAGCAAAAACACCCTGATGTTCAGCATCAAATCCTAGATAAAATAACATTAAAAAAAATTTGAAATATAACATGTGTCTAAAAAATTTTCCGACGCGATTTTCTCGGAAAATAATAAAGATAGAAAAGAATTTTCTTCATTTTGTTCATGCCGTGGTATGAATCTATAAAATGGCAGATTTAGATTTTTCATTTTCTAAAGTTGACCAAAGACCACTCAAAAACATCAAGAGGTTACACTTGACTCTTTTTGGACTCAAAAAATTTTTTTTAAGCTAGAAGAAAATGGAAAACGCTAATCGATTGAGTTTTCCAAGGGGATGAAAGATATCAAGTCAGTTTTCCGATAACATCATTATTTCGGAAAATAGGTGGAAAATTCAAAACTGAATAAGAAAAAGAGCTGGTTTTACTTCTCCGATTCTTCCCAAACTTTCCCAATTATAGTAAGACATTGCCTGGATTCCAATAATCCAGATTTGGTTGCCCTATCTTAATTAGTTTTCATGTTATTGACCATTTTTAATTATTACGTAAGTATTGATAATTGAAAATTTTAACATGCTATATAATGTAAAATGCTATTCTTCATTCAAATATGAAAACCGTTTTTCTTTATCTCTAATGGATTTCATGATAAGTGCGAAAAACTGGTTTATACGTTTTCTCCATCATTTCCTATGTCAAAAATAATAATGGAAAATTTGACTTTTTTATAACTGAATATAGAAGAACATGTGATTCTACATACTTTATCTTAATAAAGTGTTGCTATAAAATGAAGAGTTTTGATAATAATTACTCTAACTAAGTCATGTTTTGTCGGTATTCAAATTACATCAAAAATGTCAATAGGGCCTAAATGATAAGTAGTAGAACAATATTAGTCTTAAATATTTAAATTAAAATTTAAGAAGATGTTAAAATCCGAAAACAGAATTGGAAAATTCCAACTTTTAATTTCGAACATAAAAAAGAGAAATCTTTTGCCTCTTTTATAACAAAATCTTTTCATTAATTTTTGTACGCAATTTTTGTTTTTTTTAAGGGTGCCATGTTGTAGAGAATTCTTCAACAATCCAAAATATGAAGTCCATTTTTTGTAACCCTTTTGGTTCTCGAGATAATCGCAATTTAATGTAGACGGTTTCAACGTGAAAATTTTAAGAACAAAGTTCGGCTCTGTTGTTTGAGCAAAAAAATTTTAACAAAAAAGTTCGACCCTGTTCTTCGAGTAAAAATTTTTTTAAGAAAAATACTCGACCCTGTTCTTTGACAAAAAAAATGTAACAATAAAATAGAACCCTGTTTTTCAACCGAAAAAAATTTTAACAAAAAAAGTTTGACCCTGTTATTCGACCAAAAAATGAGATTTTTGAGGCAAAAATAGCTACTTTTTGAAGTGCATTTTAGGGCACTTTTGAAAAGGTTACGGGGTTGGAAAGATATGCGTCGTGTAGAAAAACTCTCGAATTTTAACATGGCGGTAAGAAACTCCAAGAAAGTCAATTCGTTCACGAGATACAGGGTGTTTTTCACTCCATGTTTTCAATTTTTCTGAAAAATGTCAATTTTTAATGGGCGTTTTAGGGTACTTCCGGAAGGGCCAGGAGATTAAAAAGGTATGCATCATGTAGAAAAACTCTCATACTTTAATATGGAAGTAAGAAACTTTAAAAAAATCAATTAGTTCACGAGATACAAGGTGTTTTTCACACCATGTTTTCATATATTTTTTTAAATGCCAATTTTTGAAGGGGGTTTTAGGGCACTTCCGGAAGGGTCAGAAGATAAAAAAGGTAGGCATCGTGTAGAAAAACTTTCATACTTTAATATGGCGGTAGGAAACTTTTAGAAAATCAATTAGTTCACGAGATCTGGTGTGTTTTTCACACCATATTTTCAATTTATTTGAAAAATGCCAATTTTTAATGGAAGTTTTAGGGCACTTTCGGAAAGGCTAGAAGATTGAAATAGTATGCATTGTATAGAGGGACTTACGAGCTTTAATATGGGTGTATAAAACATTTAAATAACCCAATTATTTTACAAGATACAGGGTATTTTCCATACTATGTTTTCATATTATGTAAAAAATGTCAGTTTTTAAAGGGCATTTTAGGGCACTTACGAAAATGCTAGAATGTTGGAAAGGTATGCATAGTATAAAGAGCCTTTCAAACTTTCATATGGCAATAAGAAAATCCAAAAAAATAATTAGTTCACATACTACCGGGTGTTTTCCACACCATGTTTACAATTTTCATTAAAAATTCTAATTTTCAACGAGCATTTTAAGGGATTTACAGAAGGGTTAGAAGATTGAAAAGGTATGCGTTGTGTAGGGCGAGTCTTGAACCTTAAGATGTTGGTAAGATACTTTAAGAAAATCAATTAGTTATTGGGATACTGGGTGTTTCCGACAGCTTCTTTGCAAATGTTTGTAACAACACTAATTTTGGTATGTACTTTAGAGCACTGTCATTACTGCTTAGGGGGTAAGGAAATTACTCTAGTGGTAAAGGTATTCATCCTGACATCACCCCTAACTCTTGAAATATAAACAAATTTGGACTATCAGGGAAAATAACAAACAACAAATAACAATTTTGTTGTTTTGTTTTGGTGAGGCACCATTACTCTCAAATATGATGATTATTATTATTACGAGTACTATGAGGATGAGGATAAAAAGCTGTTTTTATTTGATTGAAATATTAATTGAATAATAAGTACTGACTGTAGAATTGTTGCTATTAGTAACGTACTTTTATCGAACGAACGAACGAAATAAATTGTTTGCATTTAACATTAATTTTATCGCTAACTTGGTGTTTTCATTTATTATTCAAGCCTACTACTGTTAATTTATTATTAAAATAATAAAATAGCTAAAGCATTCTTTACTTTTAATATTTTAAATTGATTCACGTCGCATTTCAAGCGTGAAATGAGATACAGTGGACGTATGATGATAAAATCGACTGTTTCGATAGGCAATGTTTACAAATCATTGCAACAACGATATGATAAACTCGCGGGAATCTAATCTAATTTAATAGATTAATTGTTACTTTTGTTGGTATCTATATTTTTAAACAATCATTGACTTAAAACTGTGCATCTACGTAAACACTAAATGAAATTGAGCAATTACCAATTATAAAGTCGTCGTTTTAAAAGTATCGATCAATTTTATAATCATTTTAATGTCTATAACATTTTTAAGATTGCAAACGACACAAAAGCAAACAATTATCATGTTTTATGAAGAAATAAGTGATTTGTTTACGTCTGTCGTTCTTACGTGTCAAACTGTCAAATTTTCTTCTGGGGACTTTTTTAGGAACTTTTCATTTCACGCATTACCAATACTGTAACCAGGATGTTGCCGATTTTTCAATGAACAGTAACTATTTAGGTTGGCAGCCATGTTGACCTAGTTTTGCAGCGGCCATTGATGTATTCACCAAGCAGACAAAATTCTAAGAACTGTTACTACGTTTTTACTACGGAATCCCCAAAATGTCTGGAATTATACCATAATTGAAAAATTAATATTTAATGCATTTTTAGGTATTTTCGGATGATTTAAAAACTGGAATCAATAGAAAATACAAGAATACGTCAATATCCATGTAAAAACTAAAATTTGATATATTTTTTAATATTGAAATTATAAAAACTAATTTTTTAAAAATCATAAAAAATGATCAACTTTGTTTTTGGTCAACAACAAAAGTGAATAAGAATTTGTGATTCTTTGGCTATTTACTGATAAATTTTTGAATAAATTGTATAGTTTTAAGCTTGAGTAAAATTACTTTAACTTTAAACTGTTTTTTAAGTAATTTAAACTAATGTTACAACAATTTGTTTTATATCAGTAGATTCCTAATTAGATACACTACTTTTTGCTTTTTAAATCAATATAATAGGATGAAAGGTTTATGAGTTACAATGCCTTAAAGTTATACTGAGTATGAAGAAATTCAATAAATTTAAAAAATTAATTAAAAAATAAAAACCATTGAATTTTGAAAAATTAGTTATAGCATCAAATAAAGCATTTATTAATATCTCTATACCCAACATTTTGATGAGATATACTGAGAGAATAATGTGTATACGGGGTGCAAATTCAACCCTTATTTCCTCCCTTTATTTAAATGTTAAAATAAGAAATATACACTTTGTTATACAGAGAATTTAATATATTATTTATCAAAATGAAAAATATTTTGATATTTATATTATTTTTTATTTTAATTATTAAAAGAACACCAGAAAACCTGAAATTTAAAAAAAATAAAACTTATTTACTAGTTTTTAGTAATTATTGATTGAATTATTATGGACTAATGTAATATTTTTTTACTGTTAGATAAATTAATGAATTATATATAAATTTAGCTATGTTTCAGCTCAAAATTCTAAAAGGAAACTTTTTGAGAGAGTTGAAAATTCCATCCTTTAAAAAGGGTTTACATTTTTTTAAATAATAGTGTTAGAGATCCTATAATATATTATTTAACAATGTTTTAGACATATTGATATTATTATTAGTATAGTCCTAATTAATATTGGATGATTAGAAAAAAATGAAAATTTGAAAATTGAAACATGAAAATTTGTAATTTTCATTGTTGTTGTTGTTTTGTGTTTTAGTGACTATTACTTAAACCATAATTACATACTCGTATATTGATACCAAATCATTAAAGTAAAAATATATTAGATTGTTTTTAAAGCATTTAAAGCTTAAGCTTTTTTCCATATCAGGTAATTTTAGCAACATAAAACTTAGTATAAATTAAATATCGACTAAGTTTATGCTTTGCAAGTTTATCGGATGTCATAAAATATCTGTTTTTTATCATATCAGATAATGTAATTAAATACTTATTGTTCAATAATGCCACAACATTTAATTTCATTATGTAATTGTATAAATTCATGCATTATTTTATTACTTATAAAATTAATATATGTTCGGAAGTCAACCATATTAAATTGCAGTAATAAAACGTAAAAAGATAAATCTTAGGACTATAAATTCGATACAAATTCCTCTTAGGATTTCCAGTTATATCAGCACCCAACAACAACAGCAACAACAATAATGAAATTCGCAATTCTTGCTGTAGTCGTCGCAATGGTAGCCCTTTCCGAAGGGTACATCAGCGCTGGATTTGGTGTTGGGTATCCAGCTTACGGTTATGTAGGTTATCCACATCGCAAGAGATCCACCAGTTCCAGTTCCACCTACGACTACACCAATTCAAATGGTGACCAATGTGTATGCACCGTACCCGTTGTTGCTCCTGAACCACAGGTTGAACCTGTCCCTGAACCTGCCCCTGCTCCAATTGGTAACTATTTCATTAAGTAGAAATAAATTAACTGTCTTTAATATTTTGTATTTGTGCTTTAGGATGTGGTGATATTGATGTGGGTACACTCGCTTCTCGCAAGGGACGTACAGTAAGGTACCGCGGTTAAATAAATAATGTTGTTGGTTATTAATTAAATATATAAAAAGTATTCTTAAAATATTATTCTTTTGTATTTCTGCAGTTTTACCCAAAAACTTGTTAAATCAAAAATCAAAAAAATTAATATACGACTATGAATAAAATTTAACAAATAATAATAGTTCATATCACTAAATATAGCAACATAATTTTTATTGCTATCAAAATATACAAATTATATATAAATTTAGACAAGTTTTAGCTTTGAATTTTAAGAGACAATTCTTTAAGGGGATGCATATTTAACCCTAATTTTACCTTTAATTAAGATATAAAATAAATTACTCTTAAATTGTGGTATAGATAATTATTTAATAAATTATTATACATCTTCAGAAACACTGTGTAAATTGGTGTAGAGTGAATAAATGTTATATTTTTATTAAATTGTTAAGAATATCAATTGAAACTTTTCAGTTTTATTGTATATACTCAAATCAAAGGTTGTTAAATATGTTAAAAATATATTTATAGTTTTAACATGAATTTTGATTTTTGTTTCTGAAAGTAAACTTTATCAGTGAGGGGTTTCAAAGTCGTTATTGTTATTCTAGTACAAAATGTAATTACAAACAATAACTTACTAAATAAAAAGTTTATAATGAAAATTTTGAATTTTTAATAAAAAATAACGTACCCTAACTACCAAACTATTGATGTGAAAGTATAACAAATTGCTATTAAAATGAATATTTTGGTTTTTAACATAAGTTAACTTCAGCAGCATTAAATTTGCTATTGAATCAATATCAACTAACTTTATGCTTTCCAAGTTTATCAGATGTAATAAAAAATCTGCAATCAAGTAATTAAAAACTTATTGTTCAATAATCGGTAAAAATACTCCAACATTTATTTTAATTACATAATTGCATAAATTTATGTATGAATTTATTACTTATACAGGTAAGTAGATGGAGCGTTCGGCGTTACGGAAACGCTTCATTTAAGTTTGTAACAGTGAGACGTAAAAAGATAAATCTCTAGGGTATAAATACCGCACAAATTACTTTCAGGATTCACAGTTTTGTCTGCACCCAACAACAACAACAACAATGAAGTTCGCTATTCTTGCCGTAGTCGTCGCCATGGTGACCCTTTCCGAAGGGTACATCGGCGGAAGTATTGGCATTGGTTATCCAGGTTATGCTTATCCTGGTTATGCTTATCGCAAGAACGCCGCCAGCTCCACCTATGACTACACCAACTCGAATGGCGACGAATGCGTATGCACCGCACCCGTTGTTGTTCCTGAACCAGAAGTTGAACCTGTTCATGAACCTGGTAACTATTTTATTAAATAGTAGTAAATTAACTTTGTGTGATATTTTATATTTGTGTTTTAGAATGCGTTACGAGTGACATGGGAACAGTTCATGTGGCTCGCAAAGGGCGTACAGTAAAGTACCGCGGTTAAATAAATAATGTTGTTGGTTATCAATTATATAAATAAAAAGCATTACTGAAATATTAATTTACTACTACTACTTTTAAATTGCTTATTTTACATCGTTTTCAGACACAAAAAGTAGTATTTTAAACACGGACGGTTTAAGCCGTGGCTAAAGTACTTTAGCCACGGACTTTAGTCACGGGGTGGAACAAGCGCTTATCTCTTCTACCCTGCCAATTTATATAAAGCTTTAAATAACATTACAGTGAAAAAACTAATGAAATTTTATTTTAGAAAAAAATATTTACAATTATATACAGATAAAACCCAAAAAAATTATTTATAATTAATATTTCGATGCAGTTTTTCCGACAATTTATTCTTCAAGTCCTGTTTCACATCGAAACTAGATCGGAGTCGTGTGACAGTATAATCATGCTCATAATTTGCATAAAAACTGTTACCATTGTTACATTTTGCCAAAGAAGTGGTTTGTGAAGAATTGTGTTTCGTTTCTTCAACTTTAATCTCCTGTTTTATCATCACGGACGTAGTAGTAATACTCGTAATTGAATTAGTAGTATTAGTAGTATTTGATGATAATCTTGATGCAAGACGTGCAGATAACGTGGAAAACTCTTCCAATTGTGATGCATTTTTGGTCTTCAACTGCATTTGCTCTTCTGGAGTGTGATTCTTCACATGTTTACGCAGACTACTAGGATCTGTATACTTTTTGTTACAGTTTTTGATTTGGCAAGCGTATGGTTTCTGCAAATAAAATTATTATAACAAAAAAATTAGAAAAATGTAAAAATTTCGAACTTACAGTATCAAAATGAGTTCGTTGATGTTTCGCTCGGTCACTACTATTTGAAAAGCTCTTCGTACATGTAGGAAATTGACATAGATAAGGCCGTTCACCAGTGTGACTCCGCTGATGTATTTTGAGGTTTTCCAATCGAGAAAATGCCTTGTTACATCCATTAAACTACAAAAAAATAACATCAATAACCAGAATTTAACTACAAACATTTTTAATACTTACAGGACATTTATTAGGTTTTTCTCCACTGTGAACTCTCATATGAATCAACAATTTATACCTCGCATTGAACGGTTTAACTTTCCTCGGACAATCATGCCAAAAACAAGTGAATTCATCGCCTCTCTTCACTTCAACGTGCGCCTTTTCAATATGTTTCACTAGATTCGACTGTGAATCATAGATTTGATAACAATTCGCCCACTTACACTGCAGTGAATGTGGTATGGACTCATCAAAATCAGAATCAGTTGAATAAGTTCTCTCACGTTCAAGATTTCCTCTTTCAATTTTATTTCCCGCGTTTTCTTCAAAGTTAGTAGAATACCAACTGGATTCATCAAATAATAATCCATCACTTTGGTTTAAAATCATCAAATTTTCTTGAACATCTAAACGAAATAAATCGTCTTGATCTTGTTCAGTTGAACAATGTCCAAAATTATTCACTTCTGTGGACAGTTGATGGTAGTTTAGTGAAGTGTTTTCTTGATGTCTTAGAAATTGATTGAATTCCCAGTTGCATTGTTTGATTGTATTCACTGGTGGTAGTTGGTTTAGATTTTTAGTCTCTTCAGTGTGATTGAATGCAAATTGATTGAATTGTTCGAAATTCTCGGAGAATTCGTCATAGTCAAATGTACTGGTACAGTCTGAGCTTGGTGTGACTAATTCTGATGCCAAACCGTCTGAGAAAGCTTCCGAAAATCCTTCATCAATCACCATTGGGTTCAATTTATTATTGTAAGAAATATCCATGTAATTCTCGTAATAGTTCTTGTTTTCTTCTTCTGATATTTCCGATTCCAGGTTTGGAGGCATTAAAAACTGATCACTTTCTTGAATGTTGTTGAAAAACGTCTCGTCTAAGTTTTCAAGGAGAAATTTTTCGTTTTCGTCGATGTCTTCTTCGCCATTTATTCCGTTTAGAGATAATTCATTTGTATTTAATGTTTGCGCTTGGTAGAATGCCGCGTTGAATTTGTTGATGAGTTCTTCTTGATTAGTTGTTAAAGGTGATAAATCAAACGTATTCATTTTGAATTTTAATTTTAATTTTTACAAACACGATGTGCACTAGACAAGTTTCAGCACTGAATTAAGGGATAGTTATTTAAAACAGTTCGTTATATTATGTGTGCACATGTGCATAGGGCTTAAAGCTTAGCAAAGCTCACTCAAAATCTTGGCTCGGGTTGATTCGGATTTCTTCGTGGTTTTGAGTCTAGCGTTAAGCAAGTATCTTTACTTAAAGTTAAAGCGTCGTAAGTCAAAAAGTTTTTTGATTGAATGATGAAATATGATATCGTATTACTCGTACACTCAGAAGTCTGGAGAATATTAATTTTTTATTTTATGATTTTGACTTATAAATGTAAAATGTGAAACATGAATATAATTATTCATATAGGGGTTTAAATTAAAGAAAATGAATTAATTATACGTTAGGGAGTCAGGAACATTTTTGAAAATTATGAAATTTGAGAATTTAATGATTTTTGCTGGTTTTAGCGATTAATTAATCATTTACTAAACGATGTTGAAAAGTATACTCAAATTTCATGCCAATTTAAACGCTAAAATTTTATTTTGAACACAAAAACTCAAACACAAATTTTTTTTTTTCAAAATTTCTTAGATTTTAAGACAATAGTACTGCTTATTTAATTTTTAAACAATTTTACAATAAATATTCAATCAAAATTTATAATCAATTGCATAAAATATTATTAGAAAAATTATTTCTGCACGTTTTTCGGCTGTTTTTAAAGTTTTAACATTTTTTGTTTTATTTTCTTTGAATTTCTTTGCACGTTCTTAATTGTGAACGTGTGTTCGGGAGCGTGCGCCGCGCTAATTATATAAATAGCATAATTCCACATATGTCAAAAAAGCAAGCCATCAAAAATGCCTCCCGCTATTGTATGCACGATCCAAAAATACAACAATACGATTGTCGCGCGCGCGCCCGACGCGCACGATTATGGAAAATTATACAGAAACGCACTTTGCCATAAAAAAGAAAACGAAAAACGAAAAAAAAACTCGTTGTCGACGACGCAAGATGCGTACAAGTGCAACACATGTCACGATTTGTTTTTTTGACGGTGCGTGTGCATCTACAAGATGTTTACAATCAAACTAGATTTTATACATGATTTTATTGAATTTAATTATTCACAAAAGTATTAAAAATTCATATTTCTTCTTTAATAATGTAAAAAAATTCACGTTTGCGCATTTGTGCTAAAAAGTTTTGATGATTGTCAATAAAAAAACTTCAAAAACTCCTTTTGTGTAAGAATTGTGTCAAAAAATTTCACTTGCACACCCGAAATTTAACCACTAAACTTGTTACCAAGTGCTCGTTTTTGGATCTTAAATATTTGAATATTTTTATTAATGCTCTGTATAAAACGTCGCGCATCAATTATAGTCGTAGCAATAACTTTAGAACTTTGGTGTGTTTAATGTGGTGAATATGAGGAATATGAAATGTAGATATTACGTGGAGAAAAAACGTTCTTCTGTTGCGCTGTGTGGAAAACACGTGTGCACTATAAAAAGTCGAAGACGATGCCGAAGAAGCGTTCGAATTGGATTACATTTTGAAGGCGTAAAAAATATATTAATGTTGATGGAAGAAATCATTTTGAAAAATAGTGGAGACGCTGCGTTTTTATTCAGCGCATAATTTTTTTCAGCGTATTAAAATATGTTTCAGTTGATAAATAACAGTTTAAATAAAAGAAAGGAAAATAAAGAATAACCAATTATAAAAAAAACATCAACAAATCGTTGTTTAATATACGTTATACATTGTGTGATACATTTTCTAAAAAAATCATTAAAACTAGTTTTGTATTGTGACATTTTTTCGCATAATATTGCTAATTATGTATCAATGTTAATTATTCTAGTATAGTATTGCCAATTATATAACCAATTAAATTCTTAATCGATTTTTAATAAGTAGTAAACAAATAATTATTGTTTTACTTACTTTTACGACAATTGAAATTTTTATTACCATGTTTTATCATAAATTTCAAATTTTTGATGTATCAACTTCAATTTGACCCATATAAATCATCAAAACTTATAATTATGGCAATTTCATGTCAATTCTAATAGAAAATAAAATTTTAATATTATTCTTTAACACATTTTTTGTAAATTAATGTTTTAAACCTGATCTACAGCGTTTTGTAAACAAAGTAAAAACTTGATATAAACATTATAAACGTATAATTATTTATACGTGATATTCAGCACCATTAACTGCTAAATCAATATTTAAAAAGCAATTTTCTAATAATTGTTCTTTTTTGACGTCTGAAGCGGTTGAATAAAATATTCTATCAACATTGTATGCAAAAACTTGAAATAAAACAAGGTCTTCTTTTCGCTTGTTTTGTGTTATAACTGTAGTAATTTCCCGACCATCTCAATTATTTTAGTATGATATTACAGCTAATTATAATCTTAATGAACTTATAATCATTTTAGCTGCAATAATAATTGTTTTACATGCTTATTAAGCTGTTAACGTTGACGTTTCTTCTTTTTACGTATCATATTTTTACTTTTCAACGTCTTAATTAATTTACAATCAATTTAAAACTAATTAAGCATTTTTTAATATTGTTTAATAGACGACATAGTTAGAAAAATGTTTTTTGTTGTATTTTTAATAAGAAATTGATTTTTATTGATTTTTCAGGAGTATTCATATTCCCACCATTATTGATCAGGCAATATATTTTCTCAAATCCTCTAAGCATTAAATCATCTAGGAAGAAACACCCCAATAAAAAAAGATGCGGTAAACGTGGTGAACTTTGGTAACTTAACACCACACGTACGTAACCCCGAAAATTAGTGAAACAAACGCAAAAAATCCAGACGCCTGGGTGTTAAAAGTTACCGAACCAATAAAAAATCACTAAAAAATATAATCGCTGCAAGTGCAAAGGGTGATTCCGTGTCTAGTAGCAGTTTCACGCTTCTGTAAACTCAACTCACTCCGCTCAACATTCCATCAAATGCTCTTCTCTTGTCAAGTGCGAGAAACTGCAAGAAGCTGCTGAAGAGTAAAGTTGAGGGGGTCGAGCCGCGACGTAATCTGATACTTTTCTAACTCGCATTACTAGTAGTCACCAAACTGCAGTTTAAAAGCACTAAACGTCAAAAATGCGCCTTATAAAGCAGAAAAAATCCACGACATACAACAAATTAAATTCTATCCACATATGTTCTCATCATAATCGGCTAGAACTTGTTGAAAACTAAAAAAAGTAGTTTTAAACAATTTATTATGGAGAAAAAATTGATGCGCAACATAAAAAATATTTTTTCAACGTCTGTAAATTACCCTGATGCGATGCAACATGCACACATGTTTTAAAATATGTCTGTAATTTAAGTTTCCTAGATTTATGTTTACGCTCGCCGCGAGAATGAAGAAAAACGTGTTTACTTTTTGTTTTTTGGTGTGTCTAGGGGTTGGAAATCATTAATTTCAATCATCGATCGCCGAGATTTTACTTGAAAGGTTTACCTTGAACGTTTTATACACACAACTTCATCATTTGTTCTCTGCCAGCATAAATTTTACTAAATTTTGATTTAATAGACTTGTATAGAAATTAAAACCTTTAAACAATTCAAATTTCCCTCGCAAATTCAAAATTTTTCATTTTCAACTGTCATTGGTCAAATACGTCGGCCATTTATTTACTTTTTACCCTTGGCAACGGTTCATAACAACACGTGTATGTCGGCCATTACAATATCTTTCAAAGTAACCAATCACAAATCAAGCAGTTTCAAAACATATAATTCAAAATTAAACTTTTTTAACTAGTTTAAAACTGTTTAAGGCTAGTTTTTATCTCTTTACATGTATAATAAAATATTTGCTTAATCTGATCACCAATTAAATGGATAATTGTACTAAAAAAACTTTATTGCACCATGTTTTATTTTTAAATACATAATTAATCAATAGAAGCATTTATAAAAAAACTTGTTATTAATTTAATAGCGTCATTTGCGTACGTTTCCGCACTTTAGCATCCGTAATTATAGCACCTGATAACTAGTAATCAATTACATAACGGTAGCATTTCAAAAAAAGTGCGTGCAAACCGAAAATATAAGATTGTTTCGCGCACGTCCTTCAAGTAGGTATTTCACGTTTATCGCCTGCTAATAATTTTAAATTCAGTACTCATTCAACCGTTGGATAGAGATGTCTACGTTTTGAGTGCGTGGTGTTTTCCGTATTTTGTGCGCACTGATAAGATAAATAAAAATGGATATTGAACGACAATACGAAACCATCGAACAACTCAAACGCTCCGACGTTAAAGCTTTGGAGAACTGGATTGCAAGTCAACCACATCTACCAAAAACCAGTGAATCGCATCTTATTCTTGTCTTATTCAGTTGCGAATTCGATTTGGAGCGCACAAAAAAATGTCTGGAGTTTTACTACACAATACGTGCATCTTACACGTCGGTGTTCGCAAATCGTGATCCAGAGTTACCAAGGATTATTCAAGGATTAAAGTCCTAGTACGACTTTATTCTTATCTATTACAAACTATAAATAATAATAAACACTTCTAGTATCTTTGAACCATTTCCTCAGCTGACAAACGATGGCTACGGAGTATTCTACGCTAAATTAATCAATCCAGCCATAGATAATTACGATTTTCACACACAAATGAAACTAATGGATATGCGAGTACATGTTTGGCTTCGTGAAGTGGGTTGTGTAAAAGGAATCACTTTTATTATTGATATGACGGGCAGTTCCATACGGCATCTGCATAAACTTGGATATTTTAATGGCAGAAAAGCGTTGAGTTATATGTTGGAAGGACTTCCTGTTCGTTTAAGAGCAGTGCATATTGTCCACCCAACAAATTTTGTTGATGCAGTATTTACGATTGTACATCCGTTGATATCTGCGGAATTGCGTTCAAATGTAAGTAGTTATGCGCTGATAACAACTTTTATTTCAATATGTCTACGTTTTAGTTGCATGTACATCATGGTGACTCCATATTGGATGTTCTACCAAAGAATTGTATTCCAAATGAACTCAATGGGACCGGTGGTGCTGTAGATGATCTTCACAGTAAGTGTTTGATGAGTTAATAAGTAAAACATGTATATTAATTCTTTTCATCATATTTTACAGAGAATTTTATTGAAACTATCAAAAAGAATCGCGACTACTTTTTGGAAGATGAACAGTATAAAGCTGACGAGTCAAAACGTGTTAAACAAGGCTTATTAAAACGTTTTGGCTTTTGAAACACTTATAGTTTGAAAAAGATTGTTTTGTTATTAATTTGTTACTATAATTAAATAAAAACAGTTGTAATTTACTGCGATGCATTATAAATCGATGAATTGCGAATTCAGCCATACTCTCAACGCAATTTTTGATGACCTAGGACTTAAATTACGTTGATTATTCACTAATTAAGTCAGTAATGAGGTGTATAATTTTAAACTACATAGTTCAGTCTTAAATGATTTTTTATAAAATGTTTAATATTATCATTTCAAATACAAAACTATGAGGTATGAAATGCTAAAATGTAGAATAAAAGTAAAGTAAACACACTTCTAGAGTAAAAATAATAACAAAGTAGTGGCTAATGACTCGAAAATATTCGAAACTTTGGTTGATTTACAATCTTTAAAAGGTGCAAACTTTCATTGCAGATTAAACACATTAGCAACACATCTGATATAAACATTTAGTATAAAATCCTATGTTATTATAAATACATTTTAAAGATTTGAGTTGTGTAAGTATTCAAGTCGTTAAAGTCGCTTCTTTTAACTTCAGGAGTAAACTTGAGAAAAGTAAAAATTTGCAAATATCTTCTAAGCCTGAAGACGAATGCCCTTGAGAATATCACCTTCATATTTCTTGTACTCATTAGCAATTTGTGCCTTGTCCAAATCAGCGTTCATCACCAAAACAGGCGCCGGACAATGCCCCAAAGTCTTGCGGACGAGCCAGTCTTCGTGCATTTCATGCAGATCTTGTAGATAATTTAGAGAAACAGTGTTCTCACCATCACGATTACGTTTCACCATGCGTTCATGCACGACTTCGGGTGTTGCACGCAGGTAAACTAAGTAAAAGAAATAAGAAATCATTAACACAATGCTATAGTTAAATTTTAAATTTAGCGCCGTTTTCTTTTAAGAGTTCGTTTGTTTATCTTAGTTACGGTCCATAACAACGTGTGAATGTCGGCCATCATTGATTTTCAAAGCAATAACCAATCACAGCAAACTTTTGATTTCTGACAGTTGTCATTTCAAACGACAAAATTTTAAATTTAGCGCCTTTTCGTTCAAAAGTTAGTTTGTTTATCTTAGTTACGGTCCATAACAACGCGTGTATGTCGGCCATCATGGATTTTCAAAGCAGCAACCAATCACAGCAAACTTTTTAAAATATCTGACAGTTATCACTTCAAACGTTATTTTAGACAGCAGACAGTTAAAATAGTTTGCTTACCAATTAAATCAACTTGTGGTGGCTTCTGCTCATTCAAAAACTTGAACATCTCATCCAGAACAGCAGCAGAAGCATCAGGAATGTTTCCATCTCTGTGCATCTTCTCAACAAAAATATATTTTGCACTGAAGAGTGATCTTTCCATTAGTCGAACAGCCCTGTTGGTTGGGTGCTGATGTTGCTGCATCATGGTTAGCAAGACATACGATTCAAAGCTGAAGCTCCACTTTTGGGCATCTTTATACATCAAAGCCTTCAATGCAAACACAGAAAAACAATTAATTTCACTTGTCAGACTAATAATTCAAGTATAACTTACAAGTAAATTATGTCCATTGAAGTTGGTCCACTGTTCGAGGGGTTCAGCTTGGACAGAAACATCTTCATACTTCTTAAAATGCTCCAGGAGTGTTGTTTTACCACTGCCGATGTTTCCTTCTACGATTACATTGAATGGACGACGTTGAGCCATCTTTCTGATGCTTCACACAAAAAGTACAATTTAAAATAATATTAAAACGTGTAAACGTTCTTTGCAGGCGTCGTTTACGTGGTGCAGGTCGTTAACTGAAACGCTTTTGGCGGTAATTTGAACATACACCGGTTGGGTTAACCAAACCGACGTAATCCCCACTTAAAATTCAAATTATACAAGATTCAACATGTTCAAACGCCTAAAATGGTCATCTTCAGGTAGAAATTATCTACAATAACAAGAATATGAACCCTGGGTTATCCAAGTAGTAAAAACAGTTACTACAAGTGAGTTATTACTTGGAAAATTTCGAAATTTATGATTTACATTTGAAACTACCGCCAAAGGCGCGTCAACCAAACAATGCTTCACTGTTAAAGTGGTGGAAGCAAAAGAAGGTTACAAAACATGATGAAATAATTCTGCTTTGTTTTATTAACTGAATTTGTTTATTACTCACCAAGCTTTGAGTATGTTGTGCGCCGTATTCATCGTGCAAAAACATGAGCTTCCTCGTATGCGGTTGAATATTGTTGATTCATCAAATAACTTCCTTTCGATGGTGTTAACTTGCAATCACGGTGTTTCACAGCACTATTCGCACTGTTCTCCATGTGTTTATTGTCAAATTCAACAGGCACTTCCTTGTTGGGAGAGAGGAGTATTGGATGCGTAAATAGTTCATTTTCTTTGCTGTTAAATGAAGCGATTCATGAATTGGGTCGTGACTTTGACGGTCAGCGACGAGTACACAGCTGATAATCACGCGCGTGCGGCGTCTTAACCTTGTAAATATCGCAAGGTGTATGGTTTGCGGTAAATTTCCAATGGTAATATGATATTGGAGTTGTTTTAGATGTATAGCAATTGTTTTTGATAAGAGTATTATGGGTTTTACTCTATGATAGATTCTATTAGGGATTTGGAGTCGTTTTGATATAAAATATTAGGTTTATTTAATGTTATATTGAAAAGAATTTAATTGGCTTTATTTTGATGTATAGCTTGTTTTATTCTGAGCAGAAATACTCGAGTAATTGATAAAAATGTTCGTAAATACATTGATTTTAAAATGTACTTTGTTATTATTCTGTGCTGCTTTCTGTTGGTTAAAATGCCAATGATTATTTACTCATCGGAACGTGCTTCTACCTCTTGGTGTAAAATATAACTAAAATTACTAATTATTTACTTTGCAAATGTTTTATTATGCAGATAATTATTAGCCTAATTTTGCTTTTTATTTTTTATTTTAATACTAGTAGTATCCAGGGATGTTCATGAAAAGTGAGCAATAATTTAATAATGTTACTTAGATTTCTTACTTTTGTTAGTTCAAAAGTTTAAAAATTTTAAAAGCTTTAAATTGATGTATCATTTGATTAATTCAGTTCAAAATTACGTGTGGAATTCTCAAAAAAGTAAAATATTGTAAAAATCAATAACTCTCCAATAGGTGCTTCCCTCTTGTAGTGTAACACCAAATTAAAACAATTAAACTTGCACTTTGAAAATGTTTTATTACTACGTTAATCCTCAACGCAACTTACTTAACAATGTCTTAATTTAAAGCCAATTAAATTATGAATAAGTTAAATTTATTTAAAACTTTGATTAGATCCAATTATAAGCTTCTAAAATCAAAAGAAATTTGCTACACTTTTAATTTAAACACTCAAAATATAAAATTCAATGAATATTTTACTACATTTTAACAAAACATACAAACTATAACAAAATAAATATACTTTATAATTGTCCAAATACAAACCTTGATAAACTCCGATGAAAGCCGGAAGAAAGAAAGTGCGGAAGGAAGTAAAATACGTTGACACAACGCTCAAGAAACTGTCAACAACTTGAGACACAATAACTTACTTCACATCTCACAGCATTGCATTCATACCACTACTATGACTACACAACTGTGTTACTATACTACTATACTACTATATAACTTACTCAACGCTAGCAACAAAAACTTTCTGTTCATGTGCGATCAGCGGCGAGTCAAGGCCTGCCGAAGTAGTGAATGAATTTAATATTTATTAATTCATCGATTTGCAATCGGCGTTTTTGCAACACAAAACTCTAATGTCGATTATAATGAATACATAATGCCAGCAGGCGAAAATGTGTAATCGAATATTTTGTTATACATCTTGCACAATGCTAATATTATAAATGTAATAGTGTGATAATGCAATCCATCAAACTAGTTTTCAACTTCCTTACTTCCTCACGTGTGTACTTCCTAAGTCACCAATTAAATGAAGTAATAAAAAATAATTTCCGGGAATTATCAATAAATGTTATCTTTTGTTGAAATCTGCCAGGTGTGAAATTGATTAGTTTCCAAAAATAAATAAATAAATAAATAAAAATATATTACAAGATTATTAGAGTTGTTTATAACTTGATAAATGCATATTGTTGGATTATACAATTGCTTATCATTTAAAAATTTTAATTGATGACAAATATGAATATAAACAGTACTGATTTATTTGTTTAAAAAATTTAGTTATCTGGTATTGATATATTGTTATAATTGGTTGACTGTACAAATATGCGGACAAGCAGACATCTTTTTAAGTATTACAATTCCAAGTATGATAAATTAATCATAAGGGGACATAATAATTCATTGTTGATAACATTGAAAAAGTTCAGTAAGGAAATATTGAACTAAATTTAATCAAAAGTTGTTATTAGGCGTTTTTAATGATTTATTATTTTTATTTACAAGTTTGTGCAACAACTATAACATAACCTAAGTTGCCCTGTCATAATATAACCTAACCTGCTTCAATTTAACTAAAATTTGTTGTTTTTATAGATTATTTCTTTGTTTAAGATCAGAAAACGAAGAAAAACCAAATTTATGATCTTTGTGTTTTTAAATATACTTAAATGTTTTAGAAAATGAGAAGAAAAAACAGTTTTCTTAAGGTTTTTCGTTGAATCAGCAATAATTAACTAAATTTTGAAGTACATTGTTTATATTTTCTTTCCAACGAACGTATTGTATATGTCTATTCATTTATATAGTAATTATCAAGTCGTAAACCCATCGATGTAAATCATAGAACATGAACTATAAAATTGTTAAATTAATAACAAATGCATCAACAAAGCGATTTTAAAAATTGAAATTTTGAGCATTTTCTTGACACTTCTAAAATAATTAAGGAACTATTGATATTAATTTATAATTTTTAAATAATTGTTTAAAAAAACCAGGAAATTACAGTATTTATCATAGTCAAATGTCAATATTTAAATAATTAAACAATTTCCTATTTATTTTTTAACATAAACCTGAAAATTTCCAATAATAGGTAATTCCTGGTTTTTCACTAATTGTAATTTTTCACTTTTTTTTAACACTTAACTTCAATTTGCACATATTTTACATATGCAAACATGAGCAAGCATATACAACTTGAGTTGTTATAATTATAGTGGTCCAAGTTTCCAAGGCGGAGAAATGCGACAATGCGCGATTCGACGCACGCACAAACTTACAAAGCTACAACGCTTACAACGCTTATAAATAATATAAAGTCGCGTCGCGTGCAATCGAGTATAGTCATCGGCCGCCGCTCGTATCTCGCTGATAACACTGCGAGCCGCGCCGGCGAAGAAATTCACGCGAAGAGAAGACGAATTTAGTGTTAAGTGATCTACGACGCAAGGATGCAACTCAAAGTGATACATTAAACATTAATATAGAAATAAATAAATATTCAGTGATTTTTTGTGAGGAAAGAAAAGTTGGAAAGTGATAAAAGAATTTATTCTTCTAAGAACAAAAAATCAGGTAATTTTTTTTACTAGTTTTTAATTAATTACATGAAAACTAATTAAGATATTGGAATTTTCTCTTTAAATATGTATTTAACATTAAATTCTTAATCTAATTATGAAAAAAAAAATTTTAAGAGGATTAATTTGTTAAAAGATACAGACCAATTTGTGTCAAAGTTTATTTTTTTACAAAATTTATCTTTAAATGTTAATAACTAACTAAAAAATAGCGGAGTTAATATATATTATTTCAAATAAGATGAAAAATTTATTTGTTAACTTGTTTCTAAAGAAATCATATATATTCTTATCTATAATATATTTTTATCTATAATAGTTCACGAGTAATTAATTTATAACAATTGGTAAACATAAAAATACAAAGAACACCGTTGTAAAATTAATCTTAAACTTAAAAAATGACTTAAATTCGATAACAATATATCAAAACAAACAACGAACAACTATTGAAATATTTTCATATGTATTACACGCAATGTTTTATCAACCATCCATTAATTCCAGATAATTGCAGTTATAAATCAAATTAAAATAGATTAATTAATGCGCATTATGCATGTTTATGTTTATTAAGTACTCAAGCATCTAACAAATCAGATGTATGATTTGTTTGCCAAATCGTTTTGTTGACTTTCGAACGCACGTCTGAATGTTGTGATATCTATTTGCGGACACCAGCAGAGCATCGCTTCTATTTAAAATCGCAGATATTTATAACATACGAGTACAATATAGTACGCGGAGAAAAACAAAATATTTCCTTAAAAAACAGAAGCATTTCATTTAATTTAACTGCAGTTGGCGGTGTTTTAATAATATTTTAACCTACAACGCTTTTAGATAGTGTTTTATTTAGTTAGTTAGTGTAGCAGTTGATATAGATACTCGTAAGTCAATGCTTGTTAACGTTTCGCAAAGAAACAAATTGTTATGAATGATTTCGGTTGCACGCGAATTGCAAACACACGAATCGAACGCAAGTTACTGCAGGTTACTTAATAGTATAATACACCTAGCGTGAAGTATTAAGTAATGTCTATACAAAAAACAGGACCGTATTTAAGTTGGAGAAATTGTGAAAAAAAGTTTTTTATTGATTACTTGGAAAGTATTTGAGTTATTGCATTGATTTTTTAAAATATTGGTTTAAAATTAAATTGTTTATCTTTTTTATTAAAAAAATTGAAAAAAATATGGTTGTTTCAAAAATTATAAACAATTGAATGTCAATTATTTTAATTTTATGAATTTCACACAAATTTGTCTCTAATTTTATTCACAAAAACGATATAAATGCAATTTTTGGCAAATATATTCAGAATTTGATTCTTTACATGTGTAAACAAAAATTATAAACATAATTTGAATAATTTCTCAGTTATAAAGTAATTAATATAACAGTTGCATCAATATTTATGCACCAAGTTGAAATGCCTAATTTTATTAATTAATTACTCAAAAACTATGTAAGTCAGCATCTTAAAACTTATAAAAATACATTTAGCAATAAATTCCACATATACACTATCAATTATGTATTGATATAATGATTATATCAAAAGTTATGAACAAATTAAATTATTATTGGCATATACTCATAAAATTTACATAAATTCACTTGTAATATTTGTAATATTTGATATAACAATGTTATCAGTAAAAAATTTAATGAACACGTTCAATATTTAAATACTAAATAATTTTATACTTACATTAAATTATTATAAAAGAACATAACAACTATTTCATGTTGTTATTTTTCATTGAACAAAAAATAAAATAAAATATTTAAATCCAATACATCAAATTAAAACAAAACAAATAGGTTTGCGGTTAAACCGATTGACAAGTGTTAATTATTAACATTGATTGCGAATTACCGAGTCGAAACAATTAAACGTAAATACAAAATTGCACAAAATGCGTTCGACGCAAGCAGCGGAAAAGAAAATTGCGCATTTTGACATTTCAACCTTTTCTAAATCTTACGATAATTTTTAATTAGTTAATTAGACTTCGACTTCACGTTAAATCTGATTTTTGACATACAAATTGCCATTGTTATGAATATACATCTGATATTCAACTTTGTCATTATTTTTTTTGTTAAAAATCATTGCACAATTGCACGATTAATGCAATTTATTTACGCTGTTAAAACTCTCTTTTTTGTGTCAAGCAGTTGGGTATTGCAGACTGCGTGTGTTCTTTGAGGAGATTATGCAAATTTTATTAAAAGGCAAGAGTTAAGTTGGCAACAAAAAAAGGAAAAGTGTTATAGTTACAAGAACAAGCGGCAAGATTATATATTGGCGAAATTTGCACTAAAAACGTTTAAATTCAGATTATTGTCAGTCGTTTTAAAGTTTACAATTGATATTTATTATGTTTAAATTGTAATTAAACCTACGCAGGTTAAAATTAGTTTTTTATTGCTATTTTTGTTTTAAATTACATTTTTTATTATAACTTTTAAACTATTTGATAAAAGTTAAATTTTTAAATGTTTTCATGCAAAGAAATAAATTTTCTATAATATTATATACTCAAAATTTAATTAATTTGATTTTAAACCTTTGTAAATTGTTATTAAAGTTCGTATATTCACCACGTTCTTAGGTCATTGAAAGTTACTAGTAAACTTTTAATAATTTTCAAACTTTTAAGATTATTACATTAATTTGTTTAAAAATGTACTTCTAATTAAATTGTTTATTACTATTCTTAAAATCGTATTGATAAAATGATTGTTCAACAAGTTATAAACAATTAAAGTTGACTTTACATTTAAATATCAATTTTGTTTATTTTTTTACATTTTTCTTAATAATTTTCATTATATTTGATATAATTAAAAAAACTATATATTTATCAATAGCTATTTTAATAATCTTCAACACACAATCATCAAAAATGTCGAAATTCCTCATAAAACGGCTCAAAATTCACTCTAAAACATAAAATAAAATAAATTTCTTGTATTTAATTGATTTATTAACTTTCAGAATAAAACAAATGGATAAATAAAATAATCAAACATAAGCCCTTCGATTGTATTAGAGGACATCACGATTCACGACTTTTATTCAATGCCTTCACCGCTAAAAATCACCTGTAGTAACCGTGAATACAACTAGACAGAGAGCGAACAAAACACAATTTTCTCAAGATGATCGCTAATCAATTGATGCACATCAAAAAGATCTGGAATTACGGCATAGGACGAACGGTAATTATGAGTATTATTCTTATGATTAATTATAAACAATAATAGTAAAAATAGTAGTAGGTATAATTAAAATAATTAAAATAAATAACAAGAACTTTACAATATTGGCTGTTTTAAACCATAAAATGCAGAAATATAAAGTTTTTTTTGTAATTACACAAAAATTACTTAAATAATACTATTTGTTTATAAATTATTTTATAATAGTGGATTATATTGATTAATTATAATAAAAATTTTAGGTTTATATCAATTAGTTTGGGATTTATGGCGATTTTCATACGGTTTTGTAGTAAATTGCAATATTTTACATATTTGCGAATATCTTTACATTGATAAAATGTATGAATTTGTTATTTGGCATAAATAATCTCTGATAAATTGTCTACAAAATGATGTATTATTTATTGATATATCTTTTTAATTACAAGAGAAAAAGTCATTAAAAGTAAAAATTTCATTTTTTCACTTAAAAAACTGATAGTTTAAACTAAAATTACATAAAATTGATTATTTATGACAAAATTATGCTTAAATAATCATGATTTAATTTAAAATTATTTCAGTGATTGTAGGTAAATTATAAAAATTTATAAATAAATATAATATTTAAGTTATTTCACATAATATCACACAATTTACACAAAAACACAAAATATGTCAATATTTGTATTTTGTAGAGACCGACCGAAATTTCGGTTTCGGTTTCGGTTTCGGCCAGTTTCGGCCAAGAATTCGACTTTCGGCTTCAGTTTCGGTTTCGGCCAAAAATGGCCGAAACTTTCGGCCGCACCGAAACTCACTTTTCGTGAATTGTCGTACGTCGCTCGGTTAACTTCGCGGCTAATGGCGGTCGTTACTTGCCATCTCAGTTCGCTCATAGAAACTTAAATTAATATTATATTAAGTATCAATTGACTAAACGGGGACTTTACTCCCGAAATGGATTTTGTATCAAAAATCGTGGAAAAACTGGCGATGTGTAGGTAAAAGTAGAAAAATATGTTTATGTAAATTAGTTTCGGTTTCGGTTTCGGTTTCGGCTACAATCCAGTTTCGGTCGGACTCTAGTATTTTGATCTATAGTATATTTTTTACAATAAACAATTTTCTATTTTTTATAATTTTGCAAAAAAAATATTGCAAAGAATTGCACAAAAACGTGCAACACGCGCAATTTACTCTTAAATGTTTTGTTTTCGTTATAAAAAAATCAGATTTAATGCCTTGACTAATGCGAAACTGATAAACATAATCAACGCCATCACACTGCGTTTAATAACAAACTTTTGGACATGATGAACAACTCGTGCAACCCGTGTCCACCGTCTACACGCTTAACACTGTTTACTCACCGATTATTATTGTTTTTTTCCTTTAATTCAGACGCAAATTTCACGTTAAAATAATTACATGTTATGCATTTTTTCTCTCTCCACGTGCCGAAAAGTGCCAAACGCGTGCGACGGTCAGACGGTGACTTATAATGATTGTTTACACTTTTGTTTTAAACTCTCATTACCTCACATTACGCTGTGGATTAGACAATTAGATCCAATGAGATGCGGTTGATGTTGACGTCGATGGTCGATGTGTCGCAAATTATCGGCGAATTTTCATTTGTTTTCCACTTGTTTTGAGCACTTTTAATCGCCGGTGATGACAACGTTCGCTATTGCGTGACGTGCGGTGCAGTGCATCGGAACAGGAGTTTATTTTGAAAAAAATTGCGAATTTAATTCAATTACTCACTTGTTCAATGGCGCATTCCAGCTGCGAGAGTTAATTATCGTTGATTATCGAATGCAGCGATTGCATGCAAAACATTGCAATGCATTGTTCGTTATTGTTTGGAATTTTTTTATATTTATGGATTGTTGTTGATGTCATGAATCAATCGTAATCAATTGTTTTACTGATTTTTTTAATCAAAAATGAAAAATTCTTATGACAATCGTGAAAAGTTATCGTTATTTATTAATTATTCATAAACTATTTGAGATATTAATGTGATTTTTTAAACAATTTATAAAGAATTAAATTTTCCATTATTATCAAAAAAGTTTTTGATAATAACATTGTTTTTCTAAAAGTTATTAACAATTAAAGTGGACTTTTGTCAAAAATATATAATTTTTAGAAATTGTGCTACAACTTTTGATAAAATCATGTTAGCACTAAAATTTTTGTTTTGTTTGATTAATAATTTAATAATAAATAGATTCCTTTAAAAATTATTCTTTTAAGTTAAAAGAATTTTGAGAATTTTACGCATAACTCAGCGAAAATGTATTTATGAACCAATTTTTCAAAACTTAATTAAAACCATTAATTATTCAAAGACTATACACCTTAGAGTTAATATTTTTCTAAAATATGTTCATAATTAAGTATTACATCTAATGATGAAAAGATTTTGTTGATAGCTTTATTGTACAAAAAGTTATAAACAATTAAAGTACACCTTTTCTAAAATTTCTAAAACTAACACAAATTCTTCTTTAACTTGTTATAAAAGTGTTTTAACAATTAAATATTTGTTTAAGTATATAAAATATTTATTACTTAACATATTAACTAGTTAAATTGACTATTGGTGAGTGTTATTTTGTAAGAAGAAATGAGTAATACAACATTTTTCATGTTTGTAGAAAACAGTTAATATTACGTTAACAAGAAACGGAAACACGTATTAAAGACTGAAAAAAAGGCACAAATGTCATACTAGGTGATGATATCTTCTAGTACTACAATTACGATGATTACATTTTAAGTTATAAGTGTACTTTAGTTGACGTCAACTCAAACGAACTTTATTTCTGGACCACAAAAACAAAAACCACAAAAATGAGTTTTAAATTATTCTGATCTCATTTTTCTAAACATCTAACGGAAAATAATTGAAATATATAAAATATATTTAAGTCTATTTGAGTACAAAGACCTGCTCTATTTCAAGGATAAATTTCAAAGGTGACAAATGTCACATAACATTGATTTCCGATTATTTAATTCCAGTGACCTGCCGGAAAGCAATAAGTTTGTATAAAAATCAATTGTTTTGTTGTTTTTATGTAAAAATCAATGACCAAACGCAGTTCCGAGTAACCCTATCGTTATAACACATTAGTTTGGTTGTTTCGAGTGTTCCGAGTGTCTGTTTTGCCTACCATGCCCCTGGTCATGCAGTGAGCATGCGAGTTTGCTCGTGGCTGACATTGACATTGATAATGATGATTAAATTTCACCGAGAATTGAAGCCATAAGCAACTACCGATAATGACGCTGTCATTACCCAGACTTGTAGTCAATTACTATGTGAACACATAACACATAAACACAAATGTGAATAAATTATATATTTGCAAACAAATAGCTACACAATTTAAAATATTTGCGGTGTTTTTACGTTTAAGGAAAATAATAGTATTTTTAGTTACAGTTATTCGTTAATAATTTAGAAATTAAATAATTTAAATAATATATGTTTTTAAATATTAATTTTCTAATAAATTATGTCATTAGTTATGAATTTGAAATGTTTATTGCAAGATTTAAGGCATTATTTTTAATATTTTTGATTTGAAAGATTGAAAACTGTTAATATTGCACTTTAGCGCCATCTGATTTTAAATTATATAAGTAAAATTATAAAATAAAGTCTAAATCAAGTTTAATCTGTTATTTCATACTCTTTAAGTTATAATTTTGCAACAAAAAGTAGTTTATTTTCTTTTCCTTAGTCAAAAGTGTCTTTATACCAAATTTTATCAAAATTGGTTAAATGGTTTTTACGTGAAAGCGTCACAAACAAACAATTCCACATTTTTATTTACAATATTGATTAAAATATTAAAGAATTTTGAGTTTATATTTATTATATGTTAAATTATTAATATAAAACTATATTTGTTTGATATTTATTTATTAAAACTTAATTTATATATTTTAGATCATAGCTGTTTTCTGCGTACACTCAGTATCCATATCAATAGGGATCTGCCAAGGATATAGCGCAATCCTACTGCCACAACTGAACAAATCGAATGAATATGATTTAACGGCTGAAGAAATGTCTTGGATAGGTGAGTAAACTGTTTTTTAAAATACATTTTTGTAAATTAAACAAAAACTAATAAAGATAATTAAATGTCATAAACGGCATATTAAAGACAATTTAACGCTCTTTAATTCCTATTTTGTAACTTGTTATTATCTCCTATAACTGTTGCGTTATAAACAAATTAAAAATAGGAAAAATAATAAAATAATGAAAATATCATTTTTAACACCTTGTAATTCAAAGATTAATAATATTATCACAAATATTTAAATTTTACATGATAAAGAATTTAATAGTCTCAAATTTACTAAAAAAATCATCTTGATATCTGCAAGAATTTCTAAGTAATTAATTATTAAACAATAAAAACTAAAAATCCTCCTGTTTTCAGCTAGTCTCGGAGTAATCACGAACCCATTCGGTTCAATCCTCTCCGGCCTGCTCGCAGACTACTTCGGTCGTAAACTCTCCATCCAACTATCAACACTACCCTTCATCGCAGGCTGGTTATGCATCGCCTTTTCTTCCAACATCTACCACTTATACGCCGGACGTCTAATCACCGGCATAGCAGCTGGTATGTCAGCTGCCTGCTACACCTACGTCTCCGAGGTCTCAGAACCCCAACACCGTGGGTTATTCCAAGCCCTAGGCCCAGTCTCAGCCTCCTTCGGCATCCTCTTCACCTATGTCTTCGGAACATTCTTCCACTGGCACTTCGTCGCATTCATATCCCTAACATTCGCAATCTTCACAATAATCAGCGTACATTTCGTGCCTGAAAGCCCAGCTTACCTCATCTCAACCAACAAATCAAAATCAAAAGAGAAGACATTCGACTCCATTATGTGGTTTAGACGGAGTGTAGCCCAAGCCCAACAGGAATACCAAACACTCTGGGCTCAAACCCACACCGATCCAAAATCAGACAAACGTTGTCCTAACCTCAAAAACTACTTCAAAGCAAACACAGTGAAACCATTCATAATCATGGTAGTTTTATTCTTCCTACAAGAAATGTCAGGGATCTACACAGTGTTATTCTACGCGGTGAATTTCTTCCAGGAAGCAGACTTATCTCTCGATGAGAATGTCTCTTCTATTATCGTAGGTCTAATCAGATTTGCCATGTCAATCATAGCAGCGTTTCTTATAAACAAATTCAATAGAAGGACGTTATGTATGGTATCATCCGGTGGGATGGCGCTGACACTCGGCGCCATCTTGATTTCTAACCTAGCTGTCACAATCAATCATGATCTTATATCAAACATAACCTCACAACAAATCTTACAAATATTTCAATTGATTTGTATTTTGTTGAATGTTTTGTTTTCTATGACTGGAATGCTTCCGATTCCTTGGATTTTAGTCGGGGAAATGTTTCCGATGTCTGTGAGGTGTATAATGTCCGGTTTAGTCATATGCATCGCGCAGTGTTTTATATTTTTATCAGTTAAAATCTATCCAGAAATGATTTCACAGCTGTCGTTTCAAGGAACAGTTGGTATTTTTGCTATTTCATCACTTTTAGCGCTTTTATTCACGAAATTCTTCCTTCCGGAGACTAAAAACAAAACTTTAGAAGAAATAGAACAATATTTTACTGATTCTTTGCTGGGGTCTGATAATCCTGAGAAGCAAATGGAACAAAATGCTTTCCGGAAGTTTTCATTACAACACCACCGGAAGTCTATTGATTTATTCAATCAAAGTAATAAATTAAAGTCTTTTAAAGATACAAATAATGTGATTGTTGTTAAACCGGGGTCGAATGGTGTGGTTAATGAAGCTTTTGATCAAAAGTATGAATGTTTTGATGGACGTTTAGATTCGTCTAAGAATCGAAGAAGAAGTACGAGTATGATTAAGATTAATTAATTATTTACTTAATTATGATTGGAATATTATTAGATGTATAATGATATTGTGATAATATGAATCTTTTAGTTTTAATTCTTCAGTATTATTAAAGTATCTTTTATTGTATTTTTTGTTGTTATAAATGCAATCATTTTTGCTATGCACTACAATGAATGGATTTTTAATTGAATAATAAGTTTATAATTGTTGTTAGGTTTGGTTATGAGATTATTAAGTATGAATAAATTATTGGTATAAAATGTTGGTATTTTTTTGTTTTGTTTGATAAAAATAATAATTTATAAGACACTAGCTTCGCTCGCGAATATCTAAAATAATGAAGTTGCTTCCGTACGCGTCTGTAGTCACAGAAGAAGTAACAATGAAGTAGAATGGCGGGAAGTTTAAAATGGTTGAAAGTATAGTCTATGGAAGTATAGTGTACAGTCTCCATAGCGTAGTCAATTGGATTTGATGTTGACGTAGCTGTCGGTAATACAGTGTGATAATACAGTGTGATGGTACTATAGTACTTAGGTTTGGGCTTCATTGCTGGAATGCTAGATGGCGTTAAAATAGTCAAATAGCCAGATGCAGAGGTATTATTGGCTAAACAATTTCTTTATTTTATTTTAAAAATATTTTTTTTTATTAAATAAAAAGTAGCCTATAACCATTCAGGGACCACTAAGAATATGTGTACTAATTTTCATGATGATCGGTTAAGAAGTTTTTGCGTGAAAGTGTAACAAACATCAGGACTTTCGCATTTATAATATTAATAGGGATACTATGTAGAAACTCTTCTAAATATTTGGTTTGTGGAAAAAAGGAATTCTAATGATTTAAATGTATAGTTTTGTTTACTTTTTAGGGATTATCAAGCAAAAATTGAACATTTTTCTAAATTATTTAAGTTATTTAACTCCTCATTAAAATACAATCCAATTTTATCAAAAAATTGTTTTTGCAAAAATTTAAACAAACAAAGCACTTCTTAAATAGTTTCCAGTACTTTAAACTGATTTCTAAAGACCTTGAAATTAATTGGTATTTCAGACCTACAAATTGAAAATTTTATTGATACTATGATAATTATGTATACAAAAATTTTATTTTATTAAAAAATATAAGAGGACGTTACATATTTTCTGATATTTTGTACGTAAATTAATTTTACGTAATAAAACTTTAAAATTTTAATAAACCATAAATTTTGGGTTAACAAAACATTTTTGGCAACTTTTTAAAAAAAAAATTTTGGTTTCAATAAACTTTTATTTTAATGGCAATTTACAAATAATACAATTTTTTAAATAAAATTTTTATTAATACCTATAATACGCATATCAGTTTTACTACTCTGTTCTGTTTTTATACAAGATCTGAAATAGTATACGAGTTTATGTAGGTTGAACAATGCCTATACCTGTGTACCTAGACATATACTCCTACGAGTATGTGTTGATAACCATGAATAAGTGCACTTCTATTGTGCACTGATAAGCGTATTTATCTGAGAGCAATATTCCATTGTTAAGGATTTTCACGGCCAAAATGTAAGAATATTTATTTATTTATAATTCGATTAAGTAAAAGAATTATTGTATAGTGTAGAAGTAGTAGTGTAGTAGGTATAGTTGAAATTTAAATAATATGTAAATATTATGTTAATTATGCTCGCTAGTCACATGTCACAGCAGTTAAATCGTTTGACAAATTGATATCGCCCGATTTCAATTTGTTACACGCTTGTTAAAAAGGTGTTTAATTATAAAGAATAATGTCAATGTCGTTGGTTATTAGTTTATTAGGTTGAATGACTTTAATAGCTTTTTTTTAAGTTCCTTCCTGATAAATACATAATATTTTTATAAGTATAGGTAATAGATTAAAATTGATTTTTTGTTTCTTTAATTACTCAGAGACGACTTAAGTCACAGGTATGATTTTTTTGGATATTATTATATGATAAATTTTTTATTGATTTATGTTAAAATTTTAATGATATGGTTTTTATTAATAAAGTTATAAATAATTAAACTTAAATTTATTGCAATTAAAATTTCTAACACAAATTGGTTTATAATTTATAAAATAATTATAATATTAATAAATTATAAACGTATGTAGATTCTGCATTTAAAATTAATTAGGTTACTTCCAAAATTAATAATTTAAATTAATTAGGTAACGAGTTATTAACAAAAAACTATACAATTGTTCATTTATATTTAATGGAAGTATAAAATCAAATTTGTACAGGAATAAAACTTCTCTTAGGTAAATAATATACAAAAATAACAAAATATTTATAATTATCAGTAAATTTTTTATTTCCAACATTTCATTTTGACCTATTATATAAATATTCAATCAAATCACAACTAAAATCAATTTATTATAAATAGAATGAACTTTCACTTGATTTTCTTGCTTGCATCGCAAATCAGAAAGTAATTTACATCATTAAGGTGTGAATACTGACCAATTTACAGTAGTACTTTCCCAGAAGCGATAATCAATAGGAAGTCATTGAAAGGATGCGCTAATGAAGTAATTCAACAACTATTGCATAAGTATTTACTTTTAAATTTGTTTCAATTAACAAATACAATTGAATTATCTTAAAATAGGTGTTAAAAAAGTAAGTGTTGAAAATATAAAAGTTAAATATTTAATATTGAAAGCGGATATAGATAATTATGAACAAATTATCGTAGTAATAAATTATTTAAAGTAAAAGTGTCAGTATTTTTGAAAAATTTAGAACGAATTTCTTATATTTTCTATTTAATTCTGTAAAAAATATAAAAAAATTAAAATATTGCAATATATTATGTTAAAAATGCCAATAAGAGTTGGTTTGTATGTTTGTGCCGCTTTCAGGCCCAAACGACTGAAACAATTTTGATAAATTTTGGTATAGAGATAGTCTTAATCATGGAAAAGCAAATAAACTACTTTTTGTCGCAAAATTATAATTGAAAAGGCGTAAAATAAGAGATTAAAGTTTATATAGCAATTCAATCCGTGTTATAGTTCTATAACTTCAATATAGATGGCGCTAGAGGTGCAAATTTAAACAGTAAACTGAAACAAAACATTAAACTTTGTTTTCAATTTATTTATTAAATCATTTATTAACATGAAACAATATAAACCAAATAATAAATAAATCCACTGAATATTTACGAAAAACGTTGACTTTTATTATATATTAATAATATTTGCTTTATACATTATTCCATTCTATCCAAGTTTGAGTTCAAGTTTGAGTGTGAGTTCAAGTTACATCTTTATCAAATTTCTGCATAAGTTTTCATACAACAAGTGAAGTCATAGAGTTTTTGGCATCTTACATAATACTCGACATGTTTACATGCGCACATAATAAATTCTTAAAATGTTCACAGTACAAGAAAGTACAAGAGTTTCTTAAGCATTAAATATATTACAATATTCATTATCATTACATCATTACATCATATAATCCTTATCATATCATTTAATATAATATCATCAACTACTTAAGTTAAGTAAATATTTTAGCAGTACATGAAAAAATTCCTAAGTAATTTGGTCATGAGTCGCAACTTTCATAACTTATCTTTGTGCATAAGCCCCGCCCCCAACACCTCCCCCTTCTCCTCCCGCTTTACATCCTCTTTACAATCATCAATAACCATTACTTTTTTAAGTGTAAAATCAATCACTTTACATATGTCACAATCCGCTTCTGCGTTACAACTGCAATTATCCTCACACTTCTTTAAATCCTCACAGAGTTTAAAATTCGTCAGTTTATTGCGTATGGATGTAGATTTAGTTGAAGAGGCGGAGCTTGATGTGTTTGCGATTGGCTGCGGGGAGGTGCATGACGGTGATGGGGTGGAGCCATCTGTTAGTGGGTGTGTGTGGGCGTGCAGCGATTGCTATCCACTGTGTCACATAAACACGTCAGGCATGGGCACGCCCATGTCGATGTTGGGGCGTGTCTTGTCTAATTCATCTTCGAATGTGACTGTTTTCTCACTGCGTGGTTTTGGGGGGAGTTTACGTACGTATTGCGCACGCACAGCCAATGGGAGTTGATTTTGTAGTTCGATTAAGTCATGTTGAGGGATACTAGGCGGGAATAAATCACCACCCATTGATAAATCAAACTCTGATACGCTGCGTGGTACAAAGTACTCAATCAATGGTTCCGCCCCTTAAAAATATTTTAATTAATTTTTTTTTAAATTTAATAATAAATATTTTTATTACCTGCTGATCTTCTTGCTGGTGCACCTCGTTGAAAATTACTTTTTCTTGGTAAACTGTTGTGGTGTAAAAGAGGCGGGATTTTCTTGATAGCAGGCGGGGTTTTGACGATAGGCGCGCCCTCTGTAGTTGGTCGTTGTCAGGATGACACACCATGCGTTTCTTCGTCTTTAATCATATCGTTTGTTCTCGAACAAGTTGCTCCGACTAATCGTAAAAGATTCAGGACTTCATCTTGTACCAGACTGAAACACATGGCTACCAAAGCCATTCCTGTCATTATGTATGCGGAGCATGCGCAGAGGGATACATCCTCAGCGCGTTGACCAGGGAGTAAATCGCCGAAACCAATCGTACCTGAAAATTTTTATGTTTTTTGTTAATTTTCGGATAACTTGAAAAGTTTTTGAGTAAATATTAATTTTATTGCGTTGATTAGTAGATTATTAAATGACCTTTAAGCGAATGTCAAGTTGCATGCGAAATTTTGTGGGCTAGTGAGTGTAAACTAAGTTTAAAAGTCAAAAACTAATTATAACTATTGTTGAAGTTAAACATTTGCGTTGAAAATGAAAAGTAAATCATGCAACTTGATATATTTTCGCTTATAACTTCTAAAGTTTTTAAGCTAGATGAATGATAAATATCACATTTCGTAGCTAATTAAATTTTTTATAAGAATCAAGTTTAATATTGTTTGAAAAATTGGTATAAGTTGGATCAAATTAACTTTAAATACTTAATACCTTAAAATATTAAATTAGCAACTTTAATTGTTAACAACTATTGTTTCTTTCAGAATATTTCTATGAAACTTGATACACCTTATAGAAAATTTATTTATCTTTCATTTGATATATAACACATTATGATAAACAAATTTTAATAGAAAAATTTTGAAAAAACTAAAAAATTCCAAAATCAAGACGTAAAAAACTTACCTAATGAAGTAAAACAAAAGTATGATCCTTCCAAAAGACTCCAATTTTCTAGTCGGTGAAACAGCAGCGCTCCGGAACAGATATACAGCAAGACGATGACGAGACATAGCGTGACAGGGACTTTGACGCGCGCGTTGCATGGACATTGCGGCTGCTTCTGCCCGGCGCCTCCACCGGCACCCACCGCGCCTCCACCATTCGCAGCGCTGCCACCGCACAATTTTCCATACAACCGGCGAAAACTCCTCGCTAGCACATCACCCGTTGTAGAAAGATAGAGCAACATCAGGGGGATTCCAACCAGCGCGTAAATTATCGTCACCAGCTTGCCCCAGGAGGTGCGTGGCGAGACACTTCCATAACCTACAAAAAAAAAAAACAAGCCCAAAAGTTATTACAGAAAAAAAACTTGTTTACGCATTAAAATTTTAAAGTTACTGTATTTTATTACGGTCGCGTCAGGGATTTAACAAAGTATTCATAAAATTTGTAATATTTTTAGGCGGAAAAAATCTTAACCCTTAAAAAATATGCACGCATAAATTCAGAGAGTGTTTATGTGCTTCCTACGTGTTTGGTCATGATGTTTTTTTTTGTAACCCTCATCTTGTTAGCTCTTTGAGGTGGCTCGTTATTTTTTACCGTTTGTTTTCTTGACTTTCTGCGTCGCAGATGGATTTCATTAGGGTGGAATTTTGTACATGCATGCATGGAAACAACACGTGTTGTAAACAACATCTTATTTTTAAACTGAAACGTATTTTATGTACTTTATTTACAAAAGAAGAGAAAAAATATTCTTTGTATCAAGTTACTTTGATATGCATGAGCTTTTTGATGTGACGTAATTCAGCAAGTAGTTATTGCACACATGTGGGATATATCATGTTATAGAGTATTTTATCAGCTTTTATTTAGTATCAAAAGAGTTAAAAATATTTTGTTGCAAGTATGAGTAATTTGAATTTTTAGAAAAAAAATCATAATTTTTTATACAAATTTGAAATATTTTACTTTTTACTTAATAACTTTTTATTTACTTTAGATAATTACAATTTTAAAACGGTATATTATAGTCAAATAAATTTTCTGTTTAATAATATCTAACATGTTAGTTTTTTATTTATAATTTTATTAGTAATTTAAGTTTAAAATTAACAAAATGAAAGAAAAAAGAAACACAATTTTTACTTTTTATCCATCAAGTTTACATGCACATAACTTTTGTCATTTTAAACTTACAATAATGAAAAATGTTGCCACTGATAGATAATTTAATTAGCTTCAATTTGATATATAATTATTAACAATAACCTTATTCTAAGCCCTTTAAACTTCAATAAACAAAAATTTTTCCCCCACACTTTAAAAACTTGTATCCAACGCATGTTGCCCACTCGCAACAAAGTGTGCACGCCAAGTTGGCTAACAATATGCCGCTTTTATAACACTACCCTCTTTCTCATCCACTACCACCCCTTTCCACCACCCCTAAAGCTTCTAGTCATGTATGTATAGCGTTTTGGTAGAAGTTACAACCTACTTCACAGCGTAAATCCCTGCCATACGGCGCGCAACACCCTCACTCACCTCCCTCACTCACCTCCCTCACACCTCTTATTGAAAACAACCGCCACCAGTAAAACACTGTAACACTCGGTATGACGCAAGAGCGCCTGCGATGTTCCACGGCGTAAACTTGCGAAAGTTGTGCGAAACTTCGACTTCGACGTTTCAATTACGCGCGAACTGCACTGCCTGCAATCGCATTACAACTTGATTCTGGCAAGTTGTTTGGGGTTGGGGAGGTAAGTTGAGAAGAGGAGTATGCTTGGATCCGCGGTAGGCACGTCGCGGTGATCAATTCAGATAATTTCATCAGGCTTTCAAGTTATAGATTATTGCTACTGATTTGATCTGCAAGTGCTCAGTTTGGAGGCTGATAATTTCATTTGTGGAGATGATATATACACAGAGGTATAGTGTATGCATAGAGAATTTAATTACCTTTAATTTGATGTATAACTTGTTGATATTTAGTTAGTAATTCATAGCGTAATTACAAAAAAGTAAAAAAAATCAATATAAATTGAAATATAAATTATGCATTGGTTGAGTTTTTTGTTAATAACTTTTTAGAGAATTATTTGTTTTTAATTTGTAATACATCATTAGAAAGCTAATTAAATTTGCAATAAATTTGTAAAAATTATTATTGAAAATATTGTTTATTTGTTATAAATATTTAAATTTAAAAATGATTATAAAAATTAAAATAAAAAAAAATTAAATTGTGAAATTTAAGGGCTTATAAAATGTTTATTTATAATATTATTGCACATTTCTATACTTAAATTGATAAATAATTTAATAATCTTTAAAATAAATTTTAAATCTTTAAAAAATTCCATCGGTAAATATGTTTAAATCGTAAATTTCTAATAAAGTGATTTTATCCGGAATAAAAAATAAAAAAAAGCTTCCGCAATAGAAATAACAATAGACTATAAAAATCACCCTTAAACATGGGTCGAATATTCCATTTCTATTCAGTACATTGTTGTCCTAGAAGCTTTCCACCAGGATAACAGCGAGTAAGCAAATATTGAATGTTTGCGCTCCCCCAATAATAATACTAAAACTAAAAAGTGAAAAACGAAGATAAAAATGAAAAACAAACCCATGCACCGTACTCTCTAGCATGTATAAAATACTCGGAGGCGGTCAGAGGCGGGCAGGGGGGCCGCAGGAGCAAATTGAAAGCGCTATGGCTGACTCGGCATGTTTATTCAAATGCAATTTGCGAGCGTGCTCGCGCTCGAAGGTACACTCGACGCGATATGGAAGGATATCAAGGACTAGTCTGCAAGGGGTAGTGTACCGTGTGTGTTTACCTTTTTTTTTACTTCCCTCCACAGCCGACAAGCGCTCACAATCGACGCACGACGATACAATCGCGCCGGATAACGGATAAGGGATGAAAGTGGATGGAAAATATGAGCGAGTCGTTTAGGAATATTAGATGCCAAATAGGCGCATAGAAAAGATGTAAAACTTGTATTACCCAGTGCAAGGATGGTAAAATGGAAGCGTTTGTGAGGTGGAGAGGGTTAAAAAGGAAAAATTGATCAAAGATGAACGGCAGGGAGTAAATATTGAAAAAAAATGTTTTTGGAAAAATTGTTGAGAAATAATAATAAAAAAATTAAATTAAACTAATTTATACTAGAAAATGTTTATATTTTTTTGTATAATTTTAAAGATTGATTATTTATCTTTCATATTGTTTTTGTTTTGATAAAATTTAGCAAAAACTTTAAAAGTTATAAGCAAAAATTTGTCAAAAAGCAGAAATTGGTAATTTTTATTTTTTAAACTGTTAAGTTCAACGTAATTAATGGTTTTGAGGTGGTTAAGTTATTTTTATGACATTTTTTTCTTAACAAATTAAAAGTTGGTTAAAATTGTGTTACATTAGCGTTTATTGCATTAAAATATCTTAATTATTACAAAAGTTATAAACAAAATAAAAATAAAAATGCAAATTTTGACATTTTTTACTTTTTTCCTTGTAATTATTAATAAACTAATAAATATTAATAAATATATATTCCTACTGAAAGTATATAATATTATCTTTCATATAAAACCATCTCCAAACTTTTATCTCATTTAAAAGTACTAAAAATTATAAATCAAACATAAAAAATATAATAATCTACTCTCTTTGACAAACGTTGCATACATTGCTTTGACATTTGACGACGTAATAAGTCGCACGCCAATTTTATCACCACCCACATACGCGACAAACGAAGCGAATAAAAGGTATGAAAAAGCATTGCCAGCGGGGCGGCGGCGCGACGGTAAAAAATGATCGCGGCGATAAAATATGAAACGCGAATTGTTCGACTGCCAGAGAAACGTTCGTCGGCGGCCTTAAGATGCGTCCGAGAATATTGCGAAAATCCAATTGGGGCGGCAACACGGGGGTGGCCAACTGTTCACCGCGTGCGTACACTCAAATGATAAAGCGCAGGTCGTTTTTTTGTTCTTTTGGCAAACAAAATGTGAGAAAAATGAAAAAATCCAACAATGAATTGCGTTTTAAAAATGAAAAAAAAAAAAATGATTTCAGGATTATAGAGAGAAACAGAGAAATTTGTTTAAGGTTAAAAGGTTATTAAATATTGTTTTGTTGATGTTTTTTGGGGTTATTATTTTGTGATTAAGGTTGTGGATAAATATCTTTTGATTGATTTGAGTTGACCTAATTGGAATCTAAATTAATTGAGGTTTTAGTGAAAAATTGGTTATTTTTATGTTATTTAAGATAAATGACTGAAATTTTAAAAATAATACTTTAAAATAATTGTCTCTATCAATATTATACTTTATTCTAATAAAAAATATTATATAATTTTTTTCCTAAAATTTTTGCAAAAAAAATTTTTTTCCAAAAAAAATTAGGAAAATTACTTAAAAAATGTTGAAACCTGTGCTACTCAATAACTTTTAACCCCAAGAAAAAAATTAATATTTGAAATATCCTAGCGTCAAAAAAAGTAGAAAAAAAGAGACTGCGCAGAGTGAAAAATAGAAAAGTGGAAAAACGTGACACCAGGGAAACATAAATCTTTTGGGTTTGTTAGTTTTAATGCGTTCGCCCTCTCTACGGATCCTGCCGAAAAATGACAACGCGTGAATGACACATGGACTCGCGTCTAAGACGCAAAAATATCACAAATATACAAAACAACAAAAACACAAGAAAAAAACAAGACACGACATTATTTATAAACCAAAACCACTTTCCGTTTTCCACTTTCCTTTTAAAACGTTTACATACATATTTTGATAAATGTATTATTTTTCTCTAAAAATTTAACGGAAAATAGATTTTAAGCGATTTTTGATTGCATTTTTGTTATTTTTTTAGATATCTATTTATTTTTATTGTTTTTCAAGAAGAGAATTAACGATAAAAATAAATGTTTCGAGCATTTTTTCCGTCTCTACTCAAGCTTTTATTTTATCGAGCATTGAAAGCTTGTCAGCGTCGGGAAAATCAATTTTCATCACACGTGAACGTTGACAGCAGCGATGGAATTTCTTGCGCGATTGGAGGACGAAGGACAAAAAGCAAAGAATTGCGCTTGGGAAAATGCACGAAATGCACAAAATGGAAACACAAATAAAGAAAATTCGACAGGAAAAAAGCACAAAAAAAAACAGTTATAGTTATAGTGGAAACATGACAGACGGCCGAAAATACCGTGTGGAAATTGGATGAAGGGTTGACAGCATGAACGGGACATACATGTTTCTGTCAAAATGTCCAAAAACTAAAATGTTTAAAAAAT